CATTGAATGTGGATTTGGACTTGTTTAAATTCTGACTTGTTCTCATCATACAGAGGCATCAATGATAAGAAACTATCAGAATAGTCTGCTGCATTGGAATCTCCTATGATACTGTTGTGCTTGGAGTCAGTAATCAAAAAAAAAAAAAAAAAAAAACTAAACAAAAAGAAAAATCCTTTCTACCAAAATATCCGATTTGGGCGGTTCCTGCCCAACTTGACAAATAGCCCAAGTTTTTGGAGCCTTCTTTTCTGAAAAATAAAAGAGATGAGGGGCCCAATTTGGGTTCACTTTGGCGCCAAAATTGCATAATCCGATTATGGTAAAATATAATACAATCATGAAGTTTTGGTGGTTTTGCCCAACAATTTGTTGTAATCATGAGGTTGGTGAATTTGTTGATAACTAATTCCTTATCTCTAGCCTTTTAAGTGGGAGCTTAACCCACGGAAAAGGATGGTTACCTATTGCAAAAGGCTTTTTTATTTATTGCAATTATTGCATGCAATGAAAATAATGTATATATAACTAAGAAAATATTCTCTCCTCAGACAATCAGACATATTATGTTTGTTAATCAAATCGAAACAATTAATCATAAGAATTTTGTGAACGTAACTAAACAATTAGTAAAAGTTAAAATATTGAGATTTAAAAATAGAATTCATAAAAATAAGAAATTAAAAAAAATAGATTGACATAAAAGGGGAAGGATTGGGGTCAAAATTTGTATGAGCAGAAAATCTTAACGAATCTAACCCACCATTTTCTACAACAAGAGAGAAAACACAACGTGGAAGTAAAAATGTGAAGAGTCAACCTAGACTTTTTAGGTCAAATTGAACAAGAGCTTGTTAGCTTGCCCTAAAAGGATTGTTACAGTTAATGCAGGTTGGTTCAGTTAGTAAGGTTCATGAACTGTGTGTAGCCCATCAATGTTCAAGTTTCATTGCTAGTAGTCCTTATTGATGCACGATCTGTAATTTCCTACATAATTCTATATCGATAGCAGTTAGCAATTGAATGTCACACTTAAGTTCTTTCGACTCGAGGTTGTGAATCTGCTATGGCGTGGTGGTGAGAGTAGTCAATCTCTCCCTAAATTATTATTTTTTTTTTAAAGACTGAAAAAAAAAAAAAAAAAAAAAAAAAAAAAAGAAAAAAATTGTTATTACAGCTACCTCAGTTGAATATTGATTTATGCATCTCTATCATTAGAGTGTTTGACTTGTCATGGGTCATGATTTTGATAGCAAAGCAAACCAAGTTCTAATCAGGCAGGCAGCCAAATGCATGGTCCATTTTTGACTGCACGAAAGCAGGAAGAAAAAAAAAACCCCTGAGCCTGTGGAAAAAATAGTCAAACTTCTAGGCTTGGATTTTATCTCTCTACCAAACCCAAAATATCTAGCTAGAGATATGTAATATTTATTTATTTAGATATATCTAGCTTGCTATAAGAGTAAACCAACCACTTGTAGCTTTCACTTGCTAATCACATCTCTTTCTGTATTTGGAAACCCCTTCTGGATTTTCAATTTCATTATAAAATATATGTTTTTCTTTTTCTTCTCGTGCTGTCAACAAGTTCGATTCATCCGGTTACACGTAAGGAGACGTGTTAAGAATATAATTATCACATTATCGCCTTCTTAGTTTTATACGGAAAGTGCATGTAAATTACATTAGCATTTGATCAATTGCTCTCAAAGAAAAACAAGATTAAATTGAGATATGATATTTAATCTGCCATAAAAAGAAGCACATCCAGTACGATGGCCAGAGAGGATATAATTAGGATTTAGGAGAGAATATAAATATAATGTTAATTAATGAGCGAGCTTGTGCGTGTACATCATTGAGCATGTTTGTTAAGACTGAGATTAGCAGATAATCCATCCAAGCTTGGCGCATGCCCCATCAAAACTAAAAGAAGCTTTTTTGTTTTCTTTTTCTCGGGGCTTCGGATTGGCCGATGAGCCCTCTCTAGTGCAGCACAAGCAAACATGGCTTTCTTCTTTTTATAAATCCAGTCAAATTATTATAATTACAAAAGGAGTTTATTAATTCAAGAAATATGCCGATTTGAAAATGATAGAAACCAACATTAATCCAACATATATGATTTCAGAAGTATATTCAATGAAATGTACCGTTTGAACTTTGACCCCTTGATTGTTGCTAACACAAGATTCTCTTTTTTCCCTTTTCATGTCAAATTCGGTAATGGGTTATCCTTGAAATAAAAAGGCAATGGTTATTGAGTACCCTAAAAATAGGTTATAATCATATGTAATATTATTTTATCATTGGATTGGTCCATATTTTTGGTGTGCTCCTATACGGTCCTGTGTTTGTGAGTTCACAGATAATACTACAGTAGCTCGATAGATGTGTTTGGCTTAACTTTGACCATTAACGTGTGTTAACATTAAGAAATCTAAAGAAATAATGCTACAGTTACTCGTTACTCGACGATGCATGTTTGGCTAAATTCTAATTATTAGCACACTAATAATTGTAAAAATAAAAATAAAAAAATCTAAATGAATAGTGCTATTGCTATAATCACTCATCCACGCATCCTTAACTAAATTATAACCGTTTGTCTATATTCGGTCAAAAATTACCCACCCGGGTACGGATATGAATCTCAATAATTTAGATTATTATAAGAGAGAGACATCATGAAGAACCAAGTTATATTGTGAGATTATGTTATCATGGTTTTGATTTGAAAGGAGGGGAGTTTTCTTTTCTGCTATCACAAATAATTGATATTCCAAACCGAAAAAAGTGAAAAAACCTAAGGCTACGAATGGAGTAAAGGTAAAACAAGTACAAAGAAAGAAAGAAAGAAAGAAAAACAGAAGTTGAAGGAGGGAAAGGGTGGATGTGCTGTACTGTGCTGTGCTGTGCTTCACGAAGACCGTGACACGTGCTCTGGTCTCTGTTCCTCATCCACTCATCGATTACTCACCCAGCGCATTGATGCATTACACACACACACACTTCCCTCTTCCTTCTCCCTCTCCTTTCCCTTCCCTTTCAACCACGACACGTGCCCCTGCCTCCTCTCTCTCTCGAGCGTGTCGCAGAGTCTCTGTCACACACACAACACAAACCAACTTGGCTTTTAAGCTTTCTCATCTGCCTTGATCAACTCAAAACTAACCCACTTTTCTGCATCTCCCACTCACCACCTTATGCCTTTAACTAATTAATTACTTAATTAACATTATTAACTAATAGTACATGTAATTGGTTTTTGTTTAGTGATTAGTACTAAATAAATTGTGTGTTTCTTACTTTTTTCTTTTTTATAAAAGCGATATTGGAAATGTGTGAATTCGAACTCAAAACTTCCGGTGCAAGAATAATCGTTCTTAACCAGTCGAGCTACAAGTTTGTTCTTTATGTTATTATTATAGTGTTATGACTCATAAACGATAAGGGAATTGTTTTGTACTGCAGAAAGTGGGTTCTTTTCTTTCTTTTGGGGAGGATTAAACAAATGTTGGCTTCTTTTTACCCGGCAAGTGATTTAGCATGGAACTTCGAGAACACGCCCTCTTAATTAATCAAGCTTTTCTGTAGTTAATTAATCTAAACATGTACATCTAATTTCGTTTTTTGGTAATTACTGTCGGAGACTATGCATACTGCTCTGATTTTTTTGGATAACCAACAAAACCTACCATTTTCCCTTATTATTATGATTTTTCATGCCTACACTGTACCCCTCCACTTATTTAGTAACATTAATTTGGAATTAAAATTTTTATTCTTTTTTTTTAATAAAAAAGTTTGTAAATGTTACATATGCACCATGGATGTCCGTGACTACTGCTCGCATAGATATTGTAGGCTAGGTTATTCGTGCCAAAAAGTGTTTGTGTAATGTCATGAAAATAAAATTTCGAATTTACTAATTACATTGTTAATCACATTTTGAATAGAGGTGAAATCCGTTCGTATTTTTCACGTCTGAATGGATCCGGCCTAGTTAGGGATCACAAAGGCAAAAGATTTACTTCAGTTATGACACACACAAAAACACACTACACATTGTGTTTATGTAAAAAGACTCCACCTTGTAGTGCCATGAAAATGAAATATATTTTTTTATATATATATATACTTACAATTGTAATCTGGCTTTAATAAAAAACAACATGGGCACCAGACAATCCAGTGTGGTGTCTTTCTTATCCTTACTTACTACCAATACGAAATGTGCCATCCAGTTAAATATAGAGCTAATCAAGTGATATGAGTCCAGAGAAAGGGACAGTTTTGACTTTAACTTTCAAAGATAAATCCACATGTCAAAGTCAGGAGTGATGTTTTCTCATGCTTTAGCATAAGACAGTATGTAATACAAAACTTCTCAAATTTATTTAACAAATCACATACACTAATAGAAAAAGGCCCTCCTTATCTCCACCAATTTTGGCGTACGTTGCCTTGAGCATTGCTTTCAATGTCATTATCACCAGCATTTATGTAACATTATTATGAGAAAAACTCTAATCACACTCTGGACTTACGATTTATATCACCACACTGACATGCGATGAACGCGTGAAAGATGATGTGAAAATGATAACACAATTTCGTTTGAACAAATACTTTTATTATTATATATTGTACATATAGTACAATATTTATAATCTTTCCACAGAAATTAGTGGCCTACAAGGGATTTGTGTTGGTTTGTGCATATGAGGATGTGGGTCATGTAGCTTGCCTCACCAAACACAAAAACATATATATATTTTTTCATATGAGTGTACTATATTAGTACTTATGTCATCAATTCCCTTGTTACACCAAAATACATGTCACTAAATTATATGAGAAAAAAAACTATATGGTATATTCTTTTTATTTAATGCCCTTGAGGTGCACCATAAATCAATTCATGAGGGGAAGGAGTGGCCAAATAATTGCTTTCTCCTGTTGCTACATTGTTTTTTATTTTTTCCAGCAAAGAGATCATGCATTACATAATGGGGTTTTCTGCTGCTGCTGCTGCTGCTGCTGCTGCATCCATGGCCCATCAAATGCTGCCACCTTGTATATAATTAAATTATGCAATATTGTATTATATATTGAGGATGGGTACTAGTAGGAAAGAGACACATCATGACCTGTACGGACCAATAAGTTTCATCCCATTAATTAAATCTTAAATCCTTGATTGAACATAATATCAGTTGAATTAAATATAAACCACCCCCACAAAACACTATTTTTTTTAAAGTCTGATTTGAGTAGTTTGGGTTGGGGGGGAGGATGAGTTAGTTCTCGACTCGACATTTGGGTGGTGGCAAACTCCTTTATTTCTTTTTCACATCATTTCTGGGAGACTTTGTGTTAAGGTGCTCTCCTTTTTGTCATCCCTGTCATTAACCCTCTTGCTTAACTTACAATTACAATGTTACCATTTCCTTACCCTAATCAACTAGGGTTCCTTTCACTGTATGCAGCTCATTCTGCCGTGTTGTTATGTGATCAAGGACTTTTCTACCTGAACTTTTCTCTTGCTGCGGCGACTGATGAAGACGGTGAAGTTGGTTGCTTGAACACATCTAAGCACGTATTGGGAAAGAGTACTGTTCAGTCACTACAGTGCTCTCTGATTCAAGGTTGGTTAGCTGTTGTCCTTGATTTCAAAGTACGCATATCACACTCACACAGTGTAATATCCAAGAAAGTAGCTGGGTATAGTACTGCAAAGGAAGGAGATAGGTTCATATTATACTGAATGCTGAAACTTAACCGAAAGAAAAACCCTTTACAACTAAGAGCTGTGTGGAGAACCAACAAATCAGTCCACAATTCATGAAACAATTAAAAGGTATCAAAGGCAGATCTTTTTTGGTGGACATTGTTTAGATGAGCAGGCAGACTTGCTTCTAATTAGATGACAGCTAATGTCAGCGGTAGCTGAAAACTAAGGCAGTACGTATACAAGTCTGAAGCAGTGGTATCTGATTTAGGGGTCAGAAAACCCTCTAGATTTTCTTGCTTTATTTAATTAGGGGGGATCTAAAGTAGTCTGATTTCACTTGATGGGTTTTCAGCTTTTTTGGTAGAATAGATCTTTGCAACCTAAATTTGTACAGTTTACTCCTAACATGGGCTGCACTCCAATAATGGTAAGCCATGTTCTCTTCAGCCGTATATATGTATATAAATTCTCCGGACATCCAGACGCTATTATCGTGCATACGCCATGTATTTTCTACTGCTTCTTCTTGATTATAATAAAAGAATAACTATATATATATATCTTGCAGAACTCTGTGTTGCAAGTTACATTTTGCTCTTTTATACTTCGGGGTTATTTTGTTTTCTATATAAATTGAGATATATAAATTAGTTATCAAACACATACTTTTATTCATTTGTTCCTTTACCTAACTTCGTGTCATGTTTATTTTTCTCTATTTCCCACTAATTAAATTCAATATTTTGGCTAATTAATCGAAGTATTCACAAGCATTTCGACAGTTGAGATTATTCAAGATCAAGCTCAATGAAATATGCAGCAAAAGGGGAAAAAAAACTAAAAGCTTGATGGAAATATCGATGTTATGAGAAATATGAAAATATTAATAGAAATGGTTATGTAGGGTGGAAGGGAACATTTGACCTAAATTAGTTCAAAGCTCCTCATTCCTCTAAATGATGGAAATTACAAATTTTATATTTAGTAGCCCTTTTCTAGTTTTCTTGTCGGAATTAAAATATGGTCGGCCAAGAAAATCAAGTAAATTAACAATTGAATACAGGTCAAGGGTAATAGAGTAAAAAGGAAGCGAACGAGGGGTAAAAAGGAGACAAGAGGGTATATCTATAAAGTGGAGAGAACGGCGCTGTGTGCTGTCCTTTCCCGATAAGCCCGGTGATTTGCTCAAATGGGGAAGAAGCAAACCAACTCACTCTCTCTCTCTCTCTCCTCCTTCACTTCTTCCTGTTTACTGTTCATCACTTCAACTACTTAACCCTTTAAAAACCCAACTTTTCTTTTTTCAGTTTTCAGTTTTTGAACCTCTCCCTCCACTCCACATCAATTTCCCACTTTCCATTTCCATTTTTTTTTTCTTTCTGGTTATTTTCTTACCCGCCAAACACACCAACAACCCTAACACCCTCCCTCCCTCCTCCCAACCCATCTCCAATTCTAAGCTCACAAGCACACGTGTCGCTTCTGTGAGTCTTTTTGTTACTCAATTTGTCATCTTTATGCAAAACAAAGCTCAAATTTTTCAACCTTTTTGTTTCTGGGTTCTTTGTTTAGGTTAGTTAATGGTGGTTTCTGATCTTTACAGGCAGCCAGGAGTTGTGTGTAAAAAAAGCCTGGTTCTTTGTTTAGGTCGAATTTTACAGCTTTAATTCTAGTTATTATTATGACCTATATTTGTAAGTTTGTAATTAGCATGGGGGGTTGGGAGATTTTGGAGGTAGGGGAAGGGGAGGCAATGGGAAGGGTTTTGTTTTAATTGATGTTTTTGCAGCAAAGGAACTGATCCCATCAAGTTTTAATGCGCAGATCTGTGAGCTTTGGATGCTCAAATCTCAAGTGCTTTTGAATCTGCAGACAAAAGAATCACACTGCTCTACGTTTGTTTGGCTGTACTTGTAAGTTGTAACAATCAGAGCTTTTGACACCTGTACCAAATCAAAACCCACACAACATTGTTCAAGGTTTGAATTTTGTTTCCCCATATTTTAAAACCAACACTGTTGCTGTTGGTGTGTTATTGCTTAATATATATAGCGTGGAGCAAGAATATGTCTTGGCATATATAATGAGGAAGCAGAAGCTGTTTACTGCTTCTGCTTTTGTGCTTCAACTTGAATCTGAAGCAGATAGCTCACATACGTCAGAGGTTTATGGGGGAGAGGGAAGGGGGAGGATAGGTCTTTTTTTTCTTTTTCTGTTTCTACTTTGGTTATATTTAAAGCTCATCTTCTTTAAAACCCTTTTGTTAGGTTTAGGCATTGAGCTCTGAGTCTGTGACTGTGTTTTTGTTGTAAAAAGGGGCTTTTACTTCTGTATTTTATGATATATATATATATATATATATGGTACTTATCTTCTTTGTTGTCATTTTTAAATTTGGAAGAAAAAAAGAAGAAAAAAATGGGAAAGGAAATTTGACTGTTTTGCTTTGTTGGGTTTGCAGGGCTGAGAGGCTGAGAGAGGCTGAGGCTCTGAAGACTAAATTGTGCAGGCTTTGGTTTGCTGCTTGCTTTTGAAAGCACTCTGCAAAACTGCAAAAAGCTTTAGACGAGAGAGAGAGCCCCCTGACTTGGACCGTGATATATCACCAGCGTAAAAAAGGCCTTTTTATCACAACACAGCCAAAGTACCCTCCCTGAATTATCGTCATCAATGCATAGGACACAGCAACCCCACCTGCACTCCTCTCATCACACCACCACATCCTCTTTCTCTCTCTAAAATACTACTTACTCAGTCTCCCAAATTCAACCCTCCCTTCTCTCTCTCTCTCTCTCCTCCTCTCTCTCTCTCTCTCTCTCTCTCTCTCTCTATAGATATTACTAGAGAGCAGCTGGTGGTTGCAAAAAAAAAAAAAAAAAACAAAAAAGTACCCCAAATTGAAATTGAGTCTTTGTTTGAGAAAGGCATGAAAGTACTGATATGGAGGTGGAGGAGATTCAAGCCCAAGCCTGTAAGTTCCCAAGAATTGGAAATGGCAGTAGCAGAGCCACTAACCCAGCTGCCGACGACGAAGATCAAGACCCATCGTGCCTAGACCTCAAGAGGGATACCACTGCGGACGCCGGCAACCGCCTCCGCGGGTGGCACCACTCCCGCATCATCCGCGTCTCGAGGGCCTCCGGCGGCAAAGATCGGCACAGCAAGGTGTGGACTTCAAAGGGGCTCAGAGACCGGAGGGTACGGTTGTCTGTAACCACAGCCATTCAGTTCTATGATCTTCAAGATCGGCTGGGTTACGACCAACCCAGCAAAGCAGTGGAGTGGCTGATCAAAGCTGCCGCTGACGCCATAGCTGAGCTTCCATCTCTCAACAATTCCTTCCCTGACACTCCCAAGCAGCTCAGTGATGAGAAGAGGGCGAGTTGTGAGCATGGGTTTGATTCAGCTGAGGTTGAGCTCGAGGGGCACGGCCATGGCGACCCCAATTATCATCACCATCAGAACCAAAGCCAGCACCTTTCTCTGTCCAAATCGGCTTGTTCTAGTAATTCCGAGACCAGCAAGGGATCCGGGCTGTCTCTCTCCCGGTCTGAGATTCGGGTGAACCGGGTCAAGGCCCGGGAGCGTGCCCGGGAGAGAGCAGCCAAGGATAAGGAGAAGGAGAGCAACGAGTCAGCTTCACACATTGCTCACCACCACCAGCAAAACAGCAGCAACTTGAACAACTCCATTTCTCAAAGCGCTTCGTTCACCGAGCTTCTCACTGGTGGCATCGGTACCAACAGCAGCAACAACAACAATAGTCCAACCGCAGCTGCTCATCAGCAGCAGAGCCACGGCGGCGGCGGCGAGCCCATTTTGTTCCACAAGGCAGCAGCGGCAGGAGGAGGGGGACCGATGGATTACTTCAGTTCCGGACTTCTCGGGCTGTCCTCGTCGACCCGAACCCACCACTCGTCCGGGTTTCCGGGTCAAATCCAGTTGGGGATGAACTCCATTCCGCAGACAATGTCGGTTGTGTCCCCGTTCAGCGTGTCCGGGGATCATCATCACAACCACAACACGGAGCTTCAGCATTTCTCGTTTGTTCCCGACCACCTCATCCCCGTTACGACGTCGTCGCAGCCGGGCAATGGCGGCGACTACAATCTCAACTTTTCTATCTCTTCTTCCGGCGGCCTTGCTGGTTTCAATAGGGGGACCCTTCAGTCCAATTCTTCCTCATCACCGTCTCTTTTGCCTCACCACTTTCAGAGGTTTTCTCCCATAGACGGATCATCCAATGTACCCTTCTTCATCGGAGCCGCGGCGGCTCCAACCATGGAGAACCACCATCACCACCACCACCATCAGCAACACCAACAGCAGTTCCCAGCTGGGTTTGATCGCCGCTTGCAACATCCCTACGGCGACGGAAGCCGGCATTCAGACCACAAGGGAAAAACAAAGAACTGATGATCATGATCAGTCATTGGCAGCCCATCTAAGCTTCTTTCTGGTAACCGTCAACAGTCATAATTTTTTTTCCCCAATAATATAATATTTTCTTAGTTGCTGCATTGTTTGCTTCTCTGTTTCTGTGCTTGCATTGTTTGGTTTCATAAACTTTGCCTGATATTTGAGTAGCTAGGATACAGTCTAGAGGTATAACCTAGCCAGCACATATGTTAATTTGTTTTGTTTTTAATTTTTCTGATTGCCTTTTTGGATTTACGTGTTTTGCATTGAACCTTTGTTTTGCTTTCTTGGTAATCATAAACAAGTGAGGCCATTGGGCCAAGCGTTTTATGGGTGTTACCTATAATATATTGTATGCCTCTGCTTTTGATTCCTGCATGGATTGGAGTGAATGGGGATCGGCTGGTTGTCTCCTCGTTTGTTCTCTTGTTGGTTCCCTTCTCTCTTAGCATCTTCTAAGTAATGAGTCCATGGCTGACAGGTGTTTGCTCTGCACTTGGCCGGGCCATGTGTTTTTCACTCAGAGCCCCCTTTTCTGGTTAGCTTTAGGATCCTTAATTAGTTTGTTCTTTTCTGCCCTTCCAAGCTGCACCACATGGCAACTGCTCGGCGCACTGTCGGCCGTTACTTGTATATATGTGTTTGCCTGGAGCCTGGAGTTGTTGCTTTTGCTAATTATCATGGATTCGACAGCTAAACTTTCAGCACTTTTGTTTGCTTGCCATGAGACCTAGCTTTGGTTCCTTTCCTCTGTACAGCCCATGCACGTATGCAGGCGCTGGATTTCTGTTTTAGAAAGATTTGTTATGGGATTAGTAAAGTTGCTTTAATCTATATGTATACATTCTCATCTGTACGAGAAATATAAAAATGTATATATATTATGAAAAGGGAAAACAAGTTCCAATTTATGAAAAGGGTAGCGATTTTCATACTCTTATTTTATCGGTTTGCACTCACCTTCTTACTTTTATGCTTTGATTACTTTGTTTACACAATTAACAAAGTAGAAAAATAAGAGGGAGAAATGCAAATGTATAAAATAGGTGTGTAAAAATCATCACCGGAGAAGAAAAGACGGTAAGAAATGGAGAAGAAATATGATAGAAAGGTAAGGAAAAAGTATGAGTAAAAGAACTAAAATATCTTTTATCGTAGATGTTAATTTAGTTTCAGTTTTATTCAGTCTCAGCCCTTTCTACTTCTCATATGGCTCTTCTCTATTTATCCTTTCTTCTATGTCGTTTCCTTTTTTGTTTGCTTGAGAAAAAACAAAAACCAAAAATGTTATCAAATGAATCCTAAAACATAGGAGAAATAGATAATTTACACATATACGAAAGCTTGAGATCACAATTTTTTAAGTGACTAATTAACAGTTAACATGAACTTATATTTACGTATAAGATAATGCTAGGCTTACCATATTTATATACCGCATTGTGTTAACATCACTTAATATAGTTGACAATGGTTTTTGTAGTGTAAAATTGTGATCTAATTAAAGCTCCTCAAATGCCATACATATATATACATATACTTTGGGTAGAAATATCATTTTTCTCTTGTAAGTGGGTCATTAGGGGATGAAAGTAATGGATACAAAACTAACATTATTCTTGGTAATATATGTACCTATATATATATATTATATTCTTTAGAGAATGATGAACTAGCTCCTTTTTCAATGTTGGAAGGATCTCGAGCCTCTGCATTTAGTATTGTTGCATTTACACGCATTTAAAAGAATGCAAATCATTAAATTAATATAATGATTTTAATAAGTCCGCATCAACAAACTTGTATTAAACTAAAAGCTAATTAATTGCACCACATTATTTCCCCGCAACCCTCCCCTCTTCCTTCCTCCCTCCTTCTCTTCCTCTCTCTCTCTCTCTCTCTCCCTCCCCCACTCCCTAACCCACAGTGCCAGCCATGGCTGCCCCTCCGTCTCCCACCCCCCTCTCTCTCTCTATTTGCAAAACAAAAAGAAGGAATTATGTAAACGGTATTGTACAATCATGGAGAGAGGAAGAGATAGGTTTGTCGTTTATGATTTTGCAGGTGTAATTTTGATGTTGAGAAAATAGTATTAAAGATAAGAATTTGATATTATCAATTCCTAGGCTTTGTTGAGAGCCACTTATCCGAAATAGGGAGGGAGGGAGGGAGGGAGAGAGAGGAGGGAGACGGAGGTGGTAGCCATGGCTGGAAGTGTGGGGTAGGGTGTGGTTGTGGTTTGCGTGCAACTAATTAGTTTTTAGTTTAATGCAAGTTTGCTGACGTAGACTTATGAAAATCATTAGATTAATTTAATGGTTTGCATTCTTTTAAGTGTGTGTAAATGCACTGATGCTAAATGCAGAGGCTCGGGATCCTTCCAACACTGGAAAGGGAGCTAGTTCATCATTCTCTAAAGAATATTTTGAATTTATTAGTAATATGTTTAAGGGGTCATATGCTCTAGAATTGAGATCCATGCTTGTACTCGGCAAGCGAAGAATTTCAGCATTAAATTGTACAATGGCCCCATTATATTATTTCCATGGTTTTATCTCAAATTGAAGAGATTCCGTATTTGACAGATCTGAATAACTGCCATTAATAGGAAGTTTACATAACAAGTAAGCTTCATGTAATCATTTGAGTCTTGTAATGATGTAAAATATGATCATCCTTTTAATACAAAGCTGGCTATATAGTGGTTATGTTAGTTATGGTAGCAAAAGCAATAATAAAGTACAAATAATGGTCTCTATTGTCAAGAGAATTTAACATATTACAGTGTTAAACTATCATTCTGAACCGCACATTCGACAAGTACCTACTTGTCAATTGTTTAGATTGAGACTTTGACAAGAGAACATATACCCTTTCTTCTTGGTTTTCCCAGCTCCAAGTTTTGCTTCCAGTTCTTGCAAATCACCTTTTCAATGCTTGCTTGGTTATGTCTCACTCTTTAGACTTCCTTGAAAGCTTTAGCTATTGTTTTCCAGTATTCTAAAGTAGTACCTTTTTGACTAATTGATTTGAATTTTTGTTTTGTATTGGTTAACGTTGCAAATTCTTGTTCGAGATTCTCATCCTACTATGTTCTACGTTTTGTTGGGACATGCTTCTTGAGGATGGAATTATCAGAACCTCAAGTCACTTGTGGTGCCACTTAAACGTACCATGTGAGAGAGACCATAATACCATAAATAAAATACATTTGGTGATGTGTGTATCCTGTGAGAATCTAAAATTATAATATGTGAATATATGTGTAACTACAAAGAATCGAGATGCCTAGTCATAGGTACAGATCGGAGTTCCTAGATGTTCTTCTGTTCTTGTGTTGAATTGATTACATGAAGGTACCACATGAATCACTATAACTTGGTTTGTTTCACTTCACCCACATTCTCACACTGACATAAGAACAACAATGATAACAGTGTTTCTCACAAAACAAACCCCTCACACTAGGAAGCCTCATAAGATGGCAGTTGGAAGAAAGAGATGAAGCATGTGTCTTCTTTAAATTTCCTGCATTTCTTTCTTTTAATACTTGTATTAGTTTGGCTAGTTAAGTGATACAGGCATGCCAATATGAGGCAAATAATATTGCAACTGTTCATTGCTTAAAAGGAAGGAAACAAATTTGTGAAAAAAAAGGACAGTGAGAAGGTTATTTCATCCTTCCAGATTGAAGGATTAGGGCACGAGCAAAACAAATAATAAAGGATATAAGCCTCAATAAATGTTATATTTTTTCAGGTGAAGCTGGTTATTCTTGAGTGTATATGTAGCATGTCAGATGGTGAGATAAAAAATACTTTAGACAAGTGCATGGGAGATTGTTGTAAAGGATTGAACCGCAAGTGAGAGTTTCGAGCCGTATATAAATAAGTACTTAATCCCTGGTTTAGCATTGTAGTAGATGCATCGCTTTCAGAACTAGGGTAGGGGTAAAGGAAGCGTTTCATTGTTTGTGATATTTTGAGGAAGTTAAACAGATTGTTCAAAGGTATGCTAGTGACACTGGTTTAAGTAGATCGAACAAGCTAAGCACAAATTTTACTATGGAGTTCACAATGATTTTTGTTTTTTGCATGGAAAAGAAACTCGTGTGGCCGAAGAAACTTGAATCATCAACCTCACCCTCTAACCCATACTTGTGGGGAGAGGAGATGCGTGCCATCAGGCTTAAGGCCAAGTCAAGTTCATCAATAGGATTGAAGCTAGTCCTCCCACCTATGTGCATTCTACATTGGTTTTTTCAGTCTCATTAAATTAGTGTTGGTTTGATGTCTAATGTCAAGTAGTTACAAGATTCTGCTTTAACCATGGGAAGAGAGAGGAGAAATTCATGCTGTCGATTTTGTGAACTCGTGATCGTGGGGATCAGACCTATACTTGATATCTCTTAGGATTTTACTGGTGGCAGATCATGTTATTGGATACTTGATCCTCTTAAGAGTTTCTCGGATACCTAGTCCATGTCGGTGGTGATCCTTGTATTGTTTGTGATTGCTGCATATGCTTGCCTTTAATAGTGTTGTGAACTTGTGAGATTTTAGGCCTTGAAATCTTCATATCAGTTGTGCAGCTTTTGATCTTTAAGTTTTCCAACCTATGAGTTCTTCACTTAAATGAGAGTGAATGGAGTTGCTTGATGACAGTAAGATTGTAATAGCCTTCATAAAGTGATCAACTTCTGTCAGGAAATTGTTTGAGTTAAAGGTGGCACCAACTTTATTGTTAGGTAATAGCCTTCATAAAGTGATGGAATTATGGAATATTGTACAGGAAATGGAAATCCCTCATAATGATTGCTGTTCTCATCATTATTATCAAAATCTTCACTCATTAACCAAGAAAACTTTATTGTTATGCGAAAACCTCCTTGTTCGTTAGATTACTTCGTAATTGATCCATGTATCTCTTCTTCATTGTTGCAGGAAAGTGAAGCTAAAGAAGCAGTGGCCACCTGTGAGTGAAGTGAATGCATGCATATGCTTCCCCCGCATCGGATGATACTTATTATTATCCTTCTGAAATTGTTGGTATTTCTGCTTTAACCATTTTGAAGTCTTGCAGCTTCAGTTTGCTATATTCGATCGGATATGTATTTATTTGTCTAGCTATGTGTGCAAAAGCATTGTCTCTGTTTTGAATGAAGATGTAACTGACAATTCGATTGCAGTTAATTCTTTTCTCTTCATTTGTTTCCTTTCTACAAGTGGTCTTTAATGTCTTATCTATTCAATTATTTAAGTGAAGAGACCGTGTGACTATTTGGACTTGATAAGTTCAACTTGAAAATCCATGCATGCATCTACCTGGTACGCTCATCAATATGTGCAAGCATATTCTTTGCAAATGTTGTTTAGTCTTTTCATATGCCAATGCTTAGAATCTCGGATGCATGGATAAATGCTCTTAATCATTTGAGCTCTAAGCCTCTTGCATTTTATGCCAATGCTTAGAAGGCCAAAAACGTTATTCTTTTCATCCAGGTCTCTGAATTATGTTATTTCACACCTTAACCATTTTTTGTTAAAGGTTAAACATGGATGTCTTGATTTTGTGAACTGGGGAAGACCAGATATGATCTAATTTCCAGAACTTGTAGTTGCCCCCAAGTAATTTAATTGTAGGCGTTATTATATAACTAACTTTAAAATTTGAGAGTTTACCCAACAAAGTTCGCTGTTGGAACTTGGAAGTTGGAACCCAAGTGAGAGTAGGCCCAAAAGTTCCTGAAATACACGAATCTGGCCCCAAATTTGTGAGGCTTAAGATATTTGTGGATTCAAACTCGTGTGACAAATTTATTTATTTTTTCAAAAAAGGAAAAAGGAAAAAGAAAAAAGAAAAAAGAAAAAAGAAGAAGAAGAGGAAGAAGATTGAAATGCATTTATGTGTTGATATACAAGCTGAAGTTTCAGATTTTTCTTTTCTTTTCTAGAGTCTTCAAAATTCAAATAGTCCAAGATGCTTGGGAGTGCTTTATGCATATACAAGCGATATCAATATGCAATTTATCAGAAGGAATGGGTTAGCTAGCAGATGCCACACAAAGATTTCGAGACAAAAGCTAAAACTTAAATCAGAACATCAACTAGAATGAATGTCAGTCACTGTTAACTGCAGAAATCCGTGAGGCATGCAAATCAGGCTAAAAACATAATTATGGAAAACCTGTGAGTGAAAAGTATAGTTTTTAGTTGATAGATATCCATAGCATGCAGAACAACAAAAAAAAAAAAAAAAAAAAAAAAAAAATTGCAGATTTTTAAGAAAACAAAAAAGAAGATCCATATGTTAAGATTGGGAAGTTTTCAACACTAGAAACATATCGAAATGCATTTTGTGCTTTTTCAGAAAGCCTTGTTCAAAGTACTTTCCTTCTTTTGAGAGCATACATTCAAAGTAACTTTTGCTTTAATTCACACATACATACTAAAGTTCATGTCCAGAATGTGACCAAACGATAATGCCTAGATGTATACGTATATTTCACACTTCATTTTGTAGCTTGTCAAAGAGCTCAAACTTCAAAATTCAAATTGCCTAAGAAGGCAAGAACCTCCTTAAAGAGAGGGCATGGGGGGATGGATTAGAATCGATTCGATCCATAAGCATTTAGAGCATCTTGAATGAGCTCTCTAAATGAGTTTATTAGTTAAAATTTAGACTCCAATAATGCTTCCGATCCAACTCCTAAAACCAGGATATCTCTAGACTATGTAGGCTCTTAAGCAAAAATTAAACTTAAAAAAGGGTCATAATTGGAGACGCTCTTAGCACATGTTACGTATAGAGTTCGAGAAGTAATTGAATCAGAAACAAGAAGTAGAAGAAATGAATGTCAATCATTAAAATGAACATACTCCCAACTGTTGACTGCAGAAATCAAGGAACATGTGAAATGTCCCAAATTGGGCGAGTCATGGGCAATAATTGAAAATGAGGTTTGGGTTTTCCCCTCAATTTTATGATCCAACACTGCACCTCTTCTCCATGAATCACCTGTAGTAGAGTTTTAAATTTAATTGGTGACATACACAAATGGATGGCTTTCAATTAAAAAAACAAAACAAAATAATCATTGTTAAAAAGAATTAAAATAGTGGATCACATAGAACAAAGTCAATAGAGGGGGTTGATGGAAGCTTCAAGATTATAATAGATAAGCATGCAGCAGAGCAGCAGCAGGAGCTGTGTTTAATGTTTAATGGAGCGTGTGAGGTTTGAGTTCTAGTCCAGGCTTTAGTTCACGTGGATTGTGACTTCGTGAGTCTACAAAGTTTTGACATCTCATGTGACCAAACAGATAAAGGCAGAACCACAACCAGCTCATTACTTAATTATTAATTAATTTGCTTTGGCCAATCAAAAGGAACCAAAGTGACCGATAAATGTTACCTGGAAACAGCCCCCATTATTCCCGATTAAATGTCCTTTAGGTGAGTTGTTTTAGAAACGGGAAACAATTAGTAACGTTTTAACTAGGGCGATTTCTGACTATTGATGAGATGCGGTATCATATAAATCAATTATAAAAAGTCACTTACTCATACGTGGGCAGATAAAAAGACTAATACTAAGTTGATTGCACAAAAATTAAAAATGAATAGGCGGTAGGGCGATTTCTGACTATTGATGAGATGCGGTATCATATAAATCAACTATAAAAAGTCACTTATAAGTAGGCAGATAAAAAGACTAATATTAAGTTGATTGCATAAAAATTAAAAATGAATAGGCGGTAGGACGATTTCTGACTATTGATGAGATGCGGTATCATATAAATCAACTATAAAAAGTCACTTACTCATACGTGGGCAGATAAAAAGACTAATACTAAGTTGATTGCATAAAAATTAAAAATAAATAGGTGGCTGGGGTCACGATGTGCCTTGATGTGCCTTGTTGTGACTTTGTTCCTAAGTGAATGACCTTAACATAGCTGATGCAGAGAATAGCCGATGCAGAGAATTACTAGTCGCTTCTTGAGTTATCTTGTCATCTTCAAATACAAAACTATGCATTCTCTGGTGATGTCTGATGTGATTGATAAAAGTATTGGGTGGAAGAGCAAATCAACCACCTCCTTCGTGTTTCTTTCAACCAATTGTTTTAAGAAATAATAATAATAAAATCTGCTATGAACAAACTTTTAGAGCAGCTAATATTGCTCAATGTCTAGAACCATTTTTACAATCTCCACGTTATCTCCAACTCCCAGCCTCCAAGGTCATTAAAGATGCGGTTGAGTACGTCTAGAACTTGGAATATATGCCCAACGAAAATACAAAATTAATTGAAAAGAATCATAAACTATGTTGGCGCACTGCAAGTTTGAACGAATATAAGAAGGAAACGAAACCATCTTTGTCATGCTTGGTTTAGCCTAATGACACAAAATTCAACCACTTGGAACTATTAATTGTTAATGAGCCACCTGCCATCTATTGGGGGACAAACAGTAGTTTACCCACCAAGAGGTGAAAAAAGCCCTCCTATATTTGGGAGCCAGAAAGTGATGGTTATTCCTCAAAATGAGAAAAAAAAAGAAGTGAATTTTTCTCTAATTAATTAAGCTTTGGTGATTGTATAAATGGGAAAATGGTTTGTTTTGGTATGATGAAAAGTCAAGATACCCATTAGACGTAAAGAAGAATCGCATTAACAATTTGTATTGAACAAACAAACAATTGTGAAGCTTTGATTTGACTGTCCTATTTCAACATGTAAGCAAAAGGAACTCAAACACCAAACTCCACCGAAGTTTGGTGCAATTGTTACATGATAAATAGTATACTAATGTTATGACTATATTGGATTCAGAAAAACTTGGAATGAAACTTGTTGCTTGCTAACTAGAGTGCTGAAATGAACTTTTGACATTACATCACATAACCATAACACTGTTGTACTTGTACCTACAATATTCACATACATGGAACAAAGATAAAAAAAGTAGATCACTACAACCCCAAAATCTTTATAACATCAATCTTAGGTTGCATGTGAGCACTCACTCTTACAAGCATATGCCTGAAACAACAGCAACCGCCAGATGCATTTCGATCACCAGCTCAGGCGTAGGGGAGGGGGATCTGTGGTGCATAATCAACAGAGCATCGCTTTCTTCTGCGACAGTCCAATCCAGATTCTTCGATCGAGAGGCACCGCAGTCAACATAGCCTGGCCACCAATGAGGCAAAATTGTTCTCTCCTTCTCCACTTTCAAACTCACGCAATCCGCAATCTCCCCCATTTCCCTCCAAGGACTGTTTTACCCTGATAATTACATGTCTAACTAAATCAGTACCAAACCATGATTGAGTAATTGCATTAGAAGTAGGGAGGCATCACTAAGATAACCATGATTCAGGCATCACATTAAGTACCAATCCAAGATTGAGTAATTACACTAGAAGTAGGCATTCACAAAGATAACCAATACAGAATGAGACCTTTGCGAAAACAATAAAACATAGAAAGTGTAGAAAACTCAAAACTGATGTAAAACATATGCATTCACATGTGGAGAACAATAACTAATACCAACTGGGTTTAGCCTATCTCCTCTCATTCGATTGTTTATCAAATGGCGTACACAAAAATACTACTTTATAATTCATTCATATCCTTGGACCTTACCCAATGCAAGTTATGTTTTCTCATTCACCAAAACCACAGAACATGCGAACCAACCCATTTCCCTATAATCCCATTAAAGTTAATTTCGAGCGACAAGGAAGAAATTTCAAGATATTATCATATAAAAGATTCATCATACGAATAAGAGATCATCTAATTGTGAATGCCTTCCGGTTCTAATGCATAATAAGACATCTTTCATACATGAACACAAAGTTGCAAAATTTACCTAAGACACCCGAAATTGAATCAGAAGGAGTTCATCTCAAGACAGTAAGTACGCCTCTTGATCAGCATCTTGGCCGCCGTCCCGTACGGCTCTTCAAAGGCCGTTGAAACCCATGACAGATCAGAAGAGACCTCCTTCTTCGAGGTCGCAGATTGCTCACTGGGCCTTATAGCAACCAAAGTTGCACCCTTTAACACAACCCCATCAGGCAATTCCAAGTGGGGCGCATACCAAAGCCTCATATTCAGGGCAGGCACGAGCGTCCTCTTCGACGCAGAAGAGGCCGACAATGGCTTCACCCTCAGCTCCTCCAGCTGGTCCCTGTTCATGTACAACACCCCCTGCCCATCAGCATCGGTCAGCACCAAGCTATCAAGCGTTTTGTGCTCGGAAATGATGGGCTGAAGCAGGTAGTGCCTGGCCGAGGCTGCGATCAACGAGCTTATCGTCCAGACCACCCTCAACTTCAGGCCTCCGTTGGTGTAAAACGAGTCGGGTATGCTTCCGTTGTCGTCCGAAACGGCGCCGTTGGTGTTGGCGCAAAACCCATCTGACCCATTGTCCTGAACATCGGAAATTTTGGTGGGTCCCGGGTGGATGACCGAGGAGGCTCCGAGGATGACGCAGTTGTCTAAGGTGGAGCCAAAATCGGCCCTCCATTTGAGCAAAACGCCATCGTCGATGCCGAGCTCGCCGCTGGGGAGCTCGATCCGGAGGAAGCGAATCTCATTGAAGTTCTTAAGGACTTGAGTCGGGGAGTGGTGGGTGACGCCAGATTGGTCGAAGCTGCTACTGTCAGCGGCGGATGAGTCGGGGTCGTCGACGGCGAGAGCGGAGTGGGACCCATTTGTGGATCGTCTTGTGGGGCCCAGGAACTGGCCGAGGGCCTGGAGAGGCTTGACAATGCCGCCGAGGACAAGGCGGAAGAGGGCGGAGAAAGGGGTCCGGGACTTGTCGGAGGAAGATGAGGAGGATGCGGACGAGGGGGAAGATTCGTCGTCGGAGATAACGCAGTCGACGCGGACGACGACGTTTTCGACTTGGGGGACGAGGGAGTGGAAGCGGCGCGAAACGACGCAGCATCGGCCTAGGGCCTTGACGTCGCCGATCTTGTTGAAGACTAGGAGGAGGAGGGAGTCCGGGAGGCGATCGAAGAGGTCGTCGTCCATGTAAGAGGGCTCTGGGTAGACTCGGGAGGAGGTCGTCAGATCTGAGCGCAGAGACGACATCGTTTCGATTTGGGGCTAGTGGGTTTGCGGGTTTGAGATGAAGGAGAAGATCAGATTAGGGCTGAGGTGGGTAGATCTGAGAGGGGGAGAAATGGCATGGCAGATTTCCGAGAGGGTTCGAGAGGAGAGAGAGAAAGATGAGATAGAGAGAGGGGAAATGGGAAATGGTGGGAGGAGGAGATATATCCACGCACGCTTATGGGTTATAGGCTTGTTGTTCCTGTCATTTTAGGATCCGCGGAGAGAGAGAGACAGAGAGAGAGACAGAGACTTTGCTCTGCCTTTTTCGTTTTTTCATTCTAACTTGATTCTTTACCTTGTTTGGTAATTCTATTTCAGCTTGGAAAATATATTTTAAATGGAATCAATTTTTTTAGCTTCTTTTTTTTTTTCAATTAAAATATTTATTTAGCTGTATATACGCCTTTTTCTCTGAGGCATTGTGGAGGCGTATCTCGAAAAATATTAAATTGAAATTTGATGACTTACGTGACAATTTAACGACTCTGCGAAGATACTAATGCTCGTTTAGAATAATAGTAAATTCCAAGTTCCAATTTGTTTTTAAGGTGAGGAAAGTAAGATGGTGGTGGATAGGTAGGGCTGTCTGCAAAATGTGGTCGGGTAAAGACGTAAAAAGCCGCAACAAAAGGCCGCAACAAAAGGCCGCAAAGTATTTAGGTCAAGTTGGGGTTGGCTTCGGCTTGGCGCTCTCAGGCCAGATTTTATTTCCTTTTTCTATTTTTATCTATCTTATTTTATTCTTTCAAATTGCTTTTACTTTCTTTTTACTCGAAATTTATTACTGTTTTGTACCTGAAATGACGTTTTGGTCTCAACTATAAACCCAGAAAAGAAAGAAGATAACTTTGATTCAGATGAAAGCAAAGTATGGAAATGGAACCCACCTGCTGTTCTTTCCCATTAATTCGGGGCCACATCAAAATTATATTTTAATCTTGGAAATTCTATCATTTGGCTAGTAAAATATGATATAGAGTATGTCGGACAAAGACGTTCCTCAAATAATCATCCATATTGAGGTGTTTTCGGAATAATTAAGCGTATAATTTGAATGTGCATCGATGATTTTTTAGACTAGACTTGAAGATCCACATAAGAATGAGTTAGGAAACAAAGAATACCAATAATGTGATCAAGTATAGCTGTTATTTGAAGGATAAAATGTCAGAAAATAATAAGATGGCGATGATGACTAGACCTCAACAAAACAAATAAAATCCGAATCATGCATACAAATTTTTAAGATGAATAAAATCCAATTATATTACTCATAATTTCAGAATTACACACGTAATGCCAAGCAAATACCTTATAATTAATTCATTAATTACTCGATCATTGCCTTGGAAGCCCAAATAAAATGCAGATTGTATCCCATCCAGGTGTCACATAAGCAAGTGCAATTAAATTTAAGCATAAAAATAAATAAATAAATAAATAAAAATATATCCAATAAAAGAATACCACACGCACGTTGTGGGCCTTGTGACATGCCATGTGTTCATAAAAACGTTTCCATGGTTACACGCAAACACATGATGCCGTGGCGTCCGTACTAGTTTGATGGTACAAACCACGAACATAAAAATTTACCTAATTCATTTACCACCCCCCAATTCCATGTCAAATTCAATATTTTGGTCAATCTTGAGTTGACTCAAAGTGATTTCGAATTGATAACGACTTGGATGGTTATGGTTGATGATGATTTTATTTAAATACATAAGTTTATTCAACGTGCATTTAATCCATAACGTCGAATATTTATGATGAAATCAAATTATTTCATTTTTGAATGGAGTTGGTATTCTTATCTTAGCTATCCTTAACCTCTAATCTAAGCGGAAAATAAAAAATCCAAAGGCTCCCCATGAACCCTTTGCTTTCTTGGTAGAAGTCACTATTTTACTTGCACTAGTTCTACTCATTTTGAATTTGGAAATGTAGTTTACAAATAGAAGTCACATAAAATTCAAAAATCTTTAGAGCACATTTATTATATATATTTTTCATAAATTTTATTTATATTTAGCATGATCTAAGGTAGGGCAAGAAAATATTCCTTTTCATCATAGGGTTAATTTGTCATGTAGGAGGAAGCTAAGCAAAATAAGAGAGGTTTGAAAGCAACTTTGGAACTTTATAATGGAAAAGAGAGAAGCCAAAACCATATATCCTTCTCATAGTCAATTGTAGCCCATGATATCAGAAGGAGACAAGCTGTCCTTTTAATGGCATTCACACCACCCACTCATTAGAGCCATGAGAAAGAGGAGAGAGGAGAGAGAAGAGACTGTAAAAACATAGAGGCATACAAATGGGCCTGGGAAATTGAATTAAATTCATGACACAAGCAAGCAGACAGAGTGTATGGTTGAGAGCAATAAATAAAAGTTGCAATTGAAGGCAAAGGCAAAAACTTGGCTAAAAGCATGGGAAGGAAGGAACAATTATAAGATTTTGTGAGTGTGTGGCATCCAAGTCTGCCTCTGATCATTTGTGCTCATGCCCTTAATCATGTGGCCCCCTCCCTAACCTCTTGTTATTCTTCATTTTTATTGGCCTACAATTAATTTAAACAGGGCATTTAATGGAAATGAGAGCTTATGATACAACATGATTACCTTAAATTTGGTGATAGAGCACCCACCACACCACAGGGTGTAATTTTCCATTTCCTATTATGAATCATTAGGTGTGTTTAATGATGTTTAATTGTAATGATAGTGACAATCCTGGCAAACATGCATATCCCCCAACCCCACACACACAAGAGAAGGTGCACATTTATGGATACACATAACCTCCCTCTAATCAATCCTTGAACTTGAGGGTTTGTCACTTACGGGGATTAGTAACCTCATAAAAAATCTAATGTTGTTTTGTCAGATTTTGTTTCTAATGCAAATGTTTATGTTGTCAGACAGTTCGACGAAAGATTATTTATATGTATTTTTTATGTGCCATAGGCATGGGAATTGAAGAGTATGGATAATTTGACCCATAAAGCTATTATTAGGGAATCCTAAGAAGTGGTCCTCTGTTCTGAGTTCTCACATGTTGCCTATAGGAAAGGTTTCGTTTTGTGTGGATACTCTATCGATCAATTAGAACAATTTATGTAAGGTCAATTTCTTTATTTCAGAATGCTAGAGTTAGTTGCGTGTGAAACGACTAAGAATGAATTAGTTGTTGCTGACTGGTAGACATGTTATTTAAAGTGTATCATTTTCTAAACAGATAGATATACCTAATTGATTTGGAGCTTAACAGCATCACATATAAAATACCTATAAAGACGATTCCTCTAATTAGATTGGTGCCAATATACTCTTTCAAGGTCTTTAGAGTAGGCATTGGTCCATAGAACGCCATTTATTTTGCTGCAGCCTTTGACCAACATTTCAAATTCTCATGTCAATTTTACCTTTTCTTGTCTTAAAGAAAAAAAGAATGTAAACCTTTTCACCCCTAGACTGATTTACTGCCTACAATAATTATAATGTATGCAATTATGAATACATACCTTTATCATAACATGTATGATCATTTGCTTCTTCTTTGTTGTCTCTTATGATATGAATAAAATTAAAGCATTTATAGAAGCCATGAATTGGAAACAAAACAAAGACATCTTTCCCACCAGCATCATTTCCTATACAGCCAGACAGCATGCATGGTGGAAGATCCACATCAGGAATAGACAAGACTCTGGCCACAAACACCTAATATTTCCATCTTCTTTAGAAGCTTTTATAAACTAAACCTAATGGGGGGCCTGCTTTCGTAAACATGTAGAGGAACTTGATCTACAAAAGAATGAGAAAGTAAAGGATTTGAAGTTTGACCCAACAGGGTAGATTAAACAATGGAAAGAGTTCCAGACATTAGAATTTGAAACTGTTGTCAATAGGTTTTTTTTTCTCCTCTTAGTTTTGGCTTACATGATATAAGCTACAAGTCAGAACAGATGTCAGAAAATATGGTATTTTACCTAAATTTCCTTCTGTAGTTTCTTTTTGGTTCTTTCCTTTGTGGTTGCAATTTAAGTATTTCTGGTGCAGATTGTGGTGCATGCGGCCAGCCTGGCCCCTGCATCTATGAGACTATGAACACCATCATCATTTGACTATGATAGTTTTGGCAGCACTTGAGTGCTATTAATTGTGGGTTGTTTAGGGCTGGACATAAAAATGAATAAAGGATCATATCAGCTGGAGAATGAAAGACACAGCTTTTCCAAATTCGAAGTTCCATAATAAGGGAAGGACAATCTGTTTAAGACAATTCATTGGCTCACCAACTCAACCGCCCAACTTTACTTCTGACCCAGAAACAACATAGTTCATGGCTCCAAATTCCTGAAATGGGGATCGCAATAGCATCCCCTGTTTTGCTATTCCCGACTGACTACGGTATGCTACACATGATAATTTTTCTGCTTGGCATATCGTGATTGGTCAGAGATAGTGAAACTATGCTATTCCCGTTTCACACAAGTTTTTCTGCCTAAGGAGGCATGGTGTTTCACCTTAACTGGATAACCCTTTTCATAGATTTCAATCCATTCTGCAAAATGTGCTTGATATCTCAATACCATTTTGCAATTGGGATTTGGATGGGCACATCTGATTTTTAGTGGATGTGCAGAAAAAATAGTCATTGCAATATGATAATGGGTTCCAAAACAGCTCAGCTTCTTCCTTCCTTCCTTCCTTCCAACCGGTCACAAAGAAGTAATGAAATCCAGCTAAGCTTCACACTCTGTCTAGCTAATAGAGTAGACTATGGCCAATTTTAATAAGCTCGTTCTCTCTCTCTCTCTCTCTCTCTCTCTCTCTCTCATGGGTTAACATGATCTGTTTGAATTATTTAATCTCACAAAGCTTAGAAGCTGTCTCTTGCCATATAAATACTTAACCACCAAAAGTTTTCCATTATTGTGTCTCTACCATGTCCCCCTTAATGAACAATACCAATAAAAACAAAAAATAAAGCCATAGTATTATATCACTTAATCAAACATTAGAACAACTAATTTTTTTTTTTAAATTTAAAAATTCTGGATCATAGAATGCATCACAAATCTAAAATTAATTGGGGCCAATTGATCTACCTCTCATTTCTTTTACTTTAAAAAAGAAAAAGAAAATAAAGTTGTTGAAGTTACTACTTGAGAGGGACATGAAGACAAAACTCATTTGGTACAAAGAAAAAAGGATAGATAGAATTCAAGAATTGTAAATTATGAATAATTTTACTTTATATTAAATTATATACAATGATCCCATGGTATGATGTAGAAGCAAACACGTGATATCTAACAGAGACATGCTTTCTCTCACATGTGGAAACCTACACTGTACATGCGAGTAAATTAGCAACCACACCAGACGAAAGAGAGAAGGGGACATACTTCTGAAATTATTTGAATACAAACTGTTCACAAAATACCAAAAAGGAAAAAAGAAAGAAAGTTCACAGAAATTGCTAGAGCCAAATAGAAGGGCCAACTCAGAAGCCAATTCCAGCCATGCCCTTGAAGTGAAACCTTGACATCAACTAACAAGCACAAGAACGTTACTACCTAAGATTTTTGTACATTGTCTGTCCTCAATGGTTCAAAATTCAAATGGTTTAAACAAAACATTGTTTGAATTTGTATATAGTACAAGATAAGATAGAAGAAGCTGACGGACAAGACATTCATGTCTGCTTGGAGAAAAACTTGTATACTATGGGGATAGCAAAATGTGATTGGTTGGGGATAGCAAAACAGTGCTATTCCCGTATCATTCAAGTTCTTCTCCTGCTTGAATGTGCAAATCAGAAAGTTACAGGAAAAAAACATAACATTAAATTGACAAAATTAAACTAAATGCATCAATGTAACATAGTTTGTTGTGCATTTTAAAACTCAACTAGATAAAATAGAAAATAAAAACCAGAAACTCTAACAGTGAATGTGATGAACTTAGACCTATGATATTTCCTTTACATTTATTCATCCATCCATATAGTGTAAGGTATTGGGACAAATAATAATTTATTGAAACAGAGAATAAGTTCGAAAAGAAAAAAAATGGAAATTTCCCAGGATTCACAAGGATATATGATTCAAAGATTGTTACTTGTCCTATAAGTCTCGACCACAACGGTCACATATGTTAGGCGCATCCAAAGAAATGTTTTTTGGCTTTTCCTTCTGCATCTTTGGTAGATCAAGTTCCAGAACATCAGAAAGTGCCTTTGATCCTTCTTGGAGCTCCCCCAAACTGAAAAATAGTGCATAAAGTCATATGATTGGAACATAATCAAGTATTTAAACTGAAGGTAAATACTGACAAACAAAAAAATGAAGGTACACAAGTTGTCATTTATGTTGGCCCACGAAAGATATTACTCAACATATTGACTTGTAGATTGTAAGAAAATAGAAATGACACAAACGAATAGAGAGGAAATGGAATTCATGTTAGCATACATGAAATCTTATATAGTAAACTTGGGGGGTTACTTCAGGTTTCAATATCAGAAAATAGAAATGACAACTTGTGGATATATAGTAATATATCAATCTAGTTGTAGGAATAAGTACTTGAAGAAGCTGAATGTGCAATAGAACTTACTAAGGATGGTTTCGACATAACTGTAGAATAATACTAAAAGGCCTACCTGGTTGATTTCAGCATTTGCCAATGCTAAATCTAGTTACCGGAGTAGTGTAGCTTGTAAACTATATGTAATGAACTAGGGACTTATCTCTTAAGCAGACTACTTCAGGAATCACAACTGAACTATTCACTCATTTAAGAAATACATGGCTGGTTGCCCAGCCTCTCACATTTTGCATGCGGACATGCACGCACTTTATCTTTTTTGCACACACATACATATAAATATCAACCAAACATATAGATATATGTAAGAAAATATGATATAAATTTATTCTAGGATAACCTGTGTTCATCATAGAGCATCCAAAACCCCCCCTCATTAATCCCTTTTCCACTGATATAAAGGTAAACAGAGTGCACGAAAAGGTACCTCCGGACCATAGTTATGCTTGTCAGGTTCTTAGTTTCAATGAGATTAAAACATGATTTATCATCAACTTCTGCATTTACCTCATGGAGAGTGGAGGAGTCAATCGGATAATAGTATCATGTGTTGGCTTGGCAAGAATTCCTCTCTCCTTCAACTTTAGGCAGATATCATAAGCAGATACGGGGAACAAATTCTTGCTATTGAGCTCCACAGCATTGAACAAACCTCTTCCTCGAACTTCCTTTATGTAGTTTGGGTATTGCTGCTGAATCTGGAGTAACTGATTCCTAAGCTCTTGTCCCATTTGGGCGGATCTGTAGGATAGTTGAACATCAAGAAACATAATTTCTATGACAATTTTATAATGACTAGACTCATAAACAGGTTATGTGTGTGTAAAAGAAGACAATACATACACTTCGAGAAAGCACGGAGGAAGAAAAAAATTATGGGGGAGAGAGAGGAGGAATACGCATAACATTACCAAAATTAATGTATGGACCTGTGTTATTTCAGGAAGTGTTCTTATTATTTATCATGTTAATTGCAGCTTGACTGCAAAATGATATTGGTTGCAGCCTGACTGCAATCTGAACATTAAAGATTGATCTTGATGCTAAGTTCTTCAAACTTGAGTTCAGAAAAGAAAAACTTAAAGCCACTGATGCATCAGAAAACATTATGTATCACCTCTCAAAACATGACTGATGAAAAGAAATTTACCAAATCAATTTCTGTAGAAAATTTGATATAACTAGCTAGGATTGAATGGAGGATAATTACACATTTATTCCTTATGTCAACTGAATATAAATCCCCAAATATAAAATCTAGGAGTAGAGGATAGAAGAAACACCCTCAAGGATCACCACGGATCACTATCACATTCATAGATTGGCATGCCAAAATCTCTCTGTGAGCTTGAGCAACAGATTTTGATTATATAAATAGATAATGCATTCTCCATATTTTAGTTCTCCACTACCTGATAATATACATGGCCAAAAATAAAATATTTCAGCAAAGACTTCGTTAGTCACTTTCCAGCTTTTGTTTTCAGTTATCTCAATACTAAAAAACATCACGCTACATATGTAATACCTTTCAGAAAGTCTCTCATCTCTGATTACATCTAGTGAGGCAACAGCAACTGCACTGGCCAATGGATTACCCCCAAAAGTACTGCAAATAATTCCAAATAATAGCAGGGTGAGCTCTATTATAATAAAACCGAAATGAAGGCAAGCAAGTGCAAAATAGACTATCAACATCTCACCATCCCTCTGACTGAGGTTAAGATGGAAGACCTCCCATAAACTACAATGCTGAATACCCAAATAGGTGTAACATCGTAAACTAGAACTATTATACAAGTGAGGTTTTTCCTAAAAGTTTTTACTCTTTTGAACCCTGTGGAACAAATGGACCAACTGAGGGGCATTCCTATTCCAACCATCTTCTGGACACAGCCAAGGGCAGTAATTCTTTCCGTATCCATTTGAACCAGATATACTAGCACAGGGGGAATGGAAAGCTTCTGTTATGTCATATGTTTTTTTCTTTTTTAAAAGAAGCTTACTGCATAACAATGGATGCTATTAAAGATCAGGAGATCAGTCCTGGTAAATACCTTTCGAGTCAAAAAATTAGTGTCCAGAAATACATCTACAGAATTTAATATGGTAAATGGATTAAGGAAATATCTATAAATGGAAGCAGTTATAAAAGCAAACCTTCCATGCTCTCCAGGTTGGATACAAAGCATTACGTCTTTGTCTGAGAGCACTGCACTTACAGGTATCACTCCACCGCCCAATGCTTTTCCTAGTACCTAAATAAAACCCATAAAGTCTTAGTAAGTATGAAACATATCTAGCATAATTATAAACCAGTGTCTCGCAGTGAGGAGAAAAACTGAACTACACGAAAAAAGAAGAAGAGGTATAATTATGAATCATGAAGACTAAATAGCTTCCGCATTTTAACGTATTGTCAAAGGTTTGGATAAAGAAGAAATATGTGTTTAGAGCTAGGCGACTTCAAAATAAAATATGAGAAATAATATTGGTATGTCTATATCAGCAGTAAAAAAAAATTATCAATACTTAAAGATACTCACCACTACATCTGGGCGAACTTCCTCCCAATCACAAGCCAGCATTTTCCCTGACCGTGCTAAACCAGATTGTATTTCATCAGCAATCATTAAAATATTATATTTTGAGCACAGCTCTCTGACAGATTTCAGATAACCGTCTGGAGGAATTATAACCTGTGATCACACAACAGACAATTTTCTCAAAACAATTGACTGAAGGTGGGAATAATTATGTAAAACAAATTGAACGACTCGGTCATTTCTTGAGTTTTATGCTTTAGAACACATGGTAGAATCCTGCATGCTGTCTAAGTTGATGGCATTCCTCTGGAACATCCTAAATCAATCCGATATTGAAATTCCAAAAAAAACATACCCCAGCCTCTCCTTGAATGGGTTCAAAGAGAAATCCAGCTATTCTATCTCCATACTCTGCACCCAAAAACAGAGAAATTTGTCAGTTCAATTTTAGTACACAAATCTGGTAGTGTTGCGGCAACACAGATAACTATAAAAAAAGGTGCAAACCATATGATGATTTTACACAGATGTTATCTTGTTTAGTCGAAGGATGAAGTACATATCAAACAAGCACCAGAAACTATTAAACAGGAAAAAAAAAGTATCCAAACCTTCAAAAATCTTTTCAAGGCCAACTGCATCACCAAAATCAACTTTAAGATGTCCAGGCAATAAGGGTCCAAAACCTCGGGTTGCATCGTTGTCACAGCTCATGGAGATGACTGCCAATGTACGACCATGGAAGCAGCCACAACACGAGACAATAATAGCCTGTGTATGGCTCAGTTGAGTTAGGGACATGTGAGACAATAACCTTAGTACCCTTATTCTTGTAATGTGCAGGATACCAAACTAGAAAGGCACAGCTCTAAGAGAAACAATCAAGCCGGCTATAATATAAAGTGTTCTAACTTAAGGGTGATCTAATTCCCCAAAATTAATAGATTTTCCTGTAGTTATTTTCTCTACGGTGGGTCCAGACAATAAGAACTACTCTGGTCAGTGAACCGACTTCAGGAAACATTACTCTGTGCCCCCGTCTAGAAAAACTTGAAGATATAAAGGTAAGCCAAAACAAATAAAATCTATGTCGAAAGATAGATAGTCTCCTTGAATTCTACCTCATTTTTTGGAATTTTTTTCTTCTCATAACCCCATTTCCTCGCCAACTTTAAAGCTGTTTCCACTGCTTCAGCACCAGTGTTCATAGGCAGCACCATGTCATATCCCAGCATGCTGGTTAGATACTCAGCAAATAGTGGAAATCTATCATTATAGAAAGCTCGAGAACTAAGAGTGAGCCTTTCTGCCTGTTCTTGTAATGCCTTCATGATCTTTGGATGACAATGTCCCTACAGCAGGATGCTCCATCAAATAATGGAAAAACATCTTAAAAATTGGAGTTTCTTATGTGAACAAGCTTCTTCACTGGCTTTACATTTACTCAGATTTAAAGAAAAAAGCCACTGTCAAATGAATATGTATGCAAAATGTATATGGTTCAGAAAGCAGTTCCACTCATAGGCTAGTTACAAATATGTATGCAAAATGTATGTGTGAGTATGTGCACGCGGCAAGCACGAGTGTTGTAACATATTTACATACTTTCTATACCTGATTAACAGCAGAGTAAGCTGAAAGAAAGTCCAGATATCTGTTTCCCTCTGGATCGCATATAGATGACCCCCTTGCCTGAGAGAATACGACGGGAATTGGATGGTAACTGCAAATTGCGCCAGGAAAGTTTGTCAAAACGATATCACTGAAACTCTGTAAATTACTCCAAGCAAAGAATTTAACACGTGTAAACCATCCAGGCAAAAACTTAGAAGGAGCAAGGGAGCTCCAGAACACCTTTTTCACGGAGGAGGCCTGACCTTGTCATAACCATCCCATACCAATATCCTCATTTTATATAGTTTTTCCGTGATTATCAGAATTAATGGTACTCCAGAAAAGAAAAAAAATGAAAATTTCACTCGGATCAATCAACAAAGGCTCCAAAAGTATAAAAAAGACACAGAATTCAATCACACCGAGCTCAAGACACGAAGAAAAAACAAAAAAAACCCATCAGGCACACATCCAAAATCCATAAGAGGGAATTAGATGAAAACAAGAAAAACCCAGATTGCGAAATGAAGAACAACTTAAGTGACAGAAAAAAAAAAAGAAGAGAAATTTTTGAACGAGAACCGAAGATCAGGAGGAAAAAGATAAAGAACTGACTTGTGGGCGCTGTGTTCATATTCAAAGCTGATGAGTTCCTGGGAAGACGAAGGAAGAGTAGCTTGAGGAATAGCACCAAAGCTCCTCCTTCCACTCCAGATCACTCTGTTCGAGCTCAAGCTGCTCAGCACACTCTGCAGAGGCCTCCTGCTCGCCATTGATGGTGGATGGTTGAGATGCTCTGGGCCTCTAGATTCTTGCGATCAGTTTCCTTAAATACCAAACTTTCCTGGATGTGATTTTGGAAGAATGAGATGTTCAACCCGCCCTTTTTTTTCTGGGTAAATTTGCCACTTGTCAGAGTGGAAGACGATAATGACGCACATGTTTGTTCGGGTTTGGCATAACTGTCGCTATACGACGCAGTGATACGCCTTCCAAAGGATATCCATGATCCTAAATAATAGTGCCACGTCACATGTCAATCTATCTAATATTTTCATTTTCGCTTAGCTCAAGCGATTAAGAGTAGTAGTTTCAATACAAACTCCTCCTCTCCTGGTACAATTTTTTGTTTTATAAAAAAAGTCTACATTAGAATTAAGCACAAATATTTTAACCGAAAGGATTTGATAAAATTCACCAGAAATCACTATTATTTTTAGAACTAATACCACATATGATGATATGATAATTTCTTACTTATTATGATTAAATAATGTTCTGAATGTGCCCAAACATATAATCAAGTGAAACATATTGCTTGAACGCGGATTTAATGCTCTCTAAATTCACATAGAATGTTTGATTTGTGTTTTCTTATGGATAAGCAAAGGTATATGAAGTAGGAGACCAATTTTATCCTTTAAAAGGAAGTACATACATTTAGACAACATGTCACTTAAGATATGGTGAAGAATTAATTACTAATTCATAGCTTTGTTTAGCATAACATTACTTTCGACGTGTCATTTGATAATTGCTTGGCTTATTTTGATAAGTTATCTAATCAAGTGGAGTACACGTATGAATCCATAGGATAAAGGTACCCTTTTGAAATATAGGTCTTAATCAATGGGGAATCGGGATATTAATTGAATTGGCTCAGACTTTTGACGTGCTCACAAGTGGTCTTCGGTTTAAGCTCCTATGGTATCTATGTGTGTGAACTTCCCCCATTCAATGGAGTTATAATTTTCTTTCTTTTCTTCTTCTAATTCTGGATTAAGTTCCTGAGTTCTCTTTATCATATGTAAGCTAGCTGCAAAACAAAGCATCCTTGATCGAAAATTCACAATCAATAATCAAGCCTCAATCTAGCACTTGCCAACGTTGAAAGTAAATACTTTCTGGACTCTGTATTAAGAGAAAGGTCATAAACCTGCAAACTCGTTTTCTTAGTACATTACTTACAAAATCTTTCACAGTACAGACAAATATACAAGTCATTCAGTGTTGCCACATTTGGCATCCCCTTCCCAAACTGATCCCCCCCCTTACAGTGGTTTCAGTTTCAAACAATCAATGGCCTGTAAAATGCGGCCACATGTACCGTATATATGAGTGATTCAACACAAACCCCCACCAACAGTGAAACACCATCTTAATTGGATTTCTTGACTTCCACTCTAAACACTAGAAATGCACTTGAAGTCAAAATACAAGAGAGTACAAGGTCTGTTTGAGGAGAGTGGCTTGACAACAATCTTAAAGTCGAAATGGAGCTGAAGTAACTGGACCTTGAAAAAGACGGTCTTAAGTACCTATGAGCCAATATGTACACCCATATGAACTTTCCATTGGGACTAATATGAAGGAAAAAAATTGAATTTCAAGTGGCTTGTTGATACGTCCTATTATCTCCGCAACCTACGAGCTTTTCATTGTGATCGATATGAAGGGAATGAATTTGAGTTTCATGGGTTTGGTGATACATCCTCTTTATGGCTAGTGTAAAGGAACTGATCTAAAATTCTACAGTTCTGTACAACCTATATCTATCTATATCTGAAGCAAGAAGTTTCAGCACTGTAAACAATTAGTGCCAAACCACTACAACAACCATCTAGACATGATCCGAATGGCATTATGTCAAGGGGAGCATCATCGCTAAACAGCAATACTGCAACACAGTCAGGCCACAATTGCAGACAAAAATTCGACCATGAAATGGACAACTAGAACTAGAATATGGTAACTCAATCTCCACCAGAACTAGATGGCATCTCAATCTGCTAGCAGTTTGATCTATGAGGAGATAACATGGGTTGAGAGAATGCACTGACATCATTAATGCAGATAATCTGTTTCTTGCAATTAGTAATATTGAATACCTAGCTTAGTTGAATTTGTGAAAAGAGAAACTATGTAGCTCTGGAAGCACAGTAGTTCACTCATGGATTAGATTCAGATAGCAAAAACAAAATCCTATAGCTGCTCAAAACCGTTGCGATCAAGAGGACAATATGAAGTCACGCTGTCAAAAAGACAGCTCCATAATTGTGAATATTGATTTATCCAAGGATCTTATGAAGCAAAAGATTTCAATGTGCAGGGCACACTGATTAATGTTAGAGAAATGTTGAGAGATTTACTATGCTTGTCGTGAGGATGGCGGCAAAACAAGCCAAGAGATCAATTAGTATTTCACATGTACAGTGATTTTGAAATTTTGATTCTGTGAAGATGTTTCACATGCCCGAGATGAAGACAGAAGATAGAGAATAAGAAGGAAAAAGATTCCCTTGGGTTTATCTAATTGCAGAAAGCGGTTCCTCTCCGTTTAAGCTGCTGTATGCATCTAAATTACGCAGAACAGCAAAAAGAAGAGATCATTACCAATAGCATTTCACTTGCACAATTGATTGAGAAGATGCTGAGAGCAAGATGCTGAGAGCAAGAGTTGAATGGCCAGAGAAATAACATGCATATATAATAAGATCGACAATCATGGTCATTACTGAAACTGGCAAGAACATCAAATTATAGAATATAGGGTGTGACAATACCGAAAAATTAGATGAACTTTATATTAGCGAAGATAAGACCAGATGAAGTGATGTGACAGGAAAGAAAGGAACTAATATTGTAGATTAAGAATAGATTCGGCGACAGACAGAAGGCTACATGCCTAAGCATAAACCCTGCAGTGAATCCTCTGGCTCAGTCTCAATACCCGCTTTAGTGGGAAAATCAGGAAGAGTCAAGTTGAATAAGCCTAGAAAAGAAGCCTTCTCCAAAACCAAACCTAAAGGACTAGGATAGGAAGAGAAATGCCCAAGATTCTCTGCTGTACACACCGGACATATATTAGCTTAAAGGACTATTCACCTTTAAACAGCAAGAAGCACCCTAGGAAGTTAGGGGGCCATTATAAACGCCTGAATCAAGTTCTCTGCTGTACGCTTCTGTTCAGGTGTGCCAGATATATGAGCAATACGATCACCTCGGGAAGATTTGGAGTCAGAGATCTCTATCATTGCTCCTGATATCTGTAGGAGAAACAAATATACATGGGAATGACATCAAAGACGCATACTGAATATGTTCAGTTAGAAACAACCTAGATTTTCCATGTTGCTCCTTCTCCAAACAATAAACAACCAGTAGATGTAGATCCTAAAATGGAAAGATTCTCTCACCTTCCGAATATTGGCTATATTTGCCCCTCCTTTGCCCAGCACCTTACCAACTGCATTAGCAGGAACTAACATCTCAAGTGTTGAAGGGGGTGGCAACCTGCATAGAGGCATGTTATTGAAAAGTAGTGTAAGGGTGCTAGAATAGAAACCGAAAAAGGCAAGCTTCACAAGAAGATAGAAAAAAACTTAATACGCTGACCCTCCATATAACTTGGATGAATAAGACGACATGGATCCATAGCCATTTTCTCCCATCTAAAATAGAAAAATCAAGCAAGTACTATCAGAGATTTATTTACGATATTTATTCAATTCCAAAATAAATTACTAAAATTGACATACCGACATAGATCCATATCCATAGAGGCTACCAGAAGAATGCATGCCCAAGCCACTTCCACTTTCAGCCCTCTGATCATAACCCAATGAAGTAACTGGGGGGACAGAAGGCAGGACAGATGGGATTGAGAGACCAGTGCCACCGGAGTACAGGGATTCAGCACCACCAGAGGGGTTGTGACCACCATCTCTGTCCTTTAAGACATCGTCCCGGAGCCTCAGAACAATCTGAATAAGTGCATCCCTCAAACTACTAGGTTCTCCTGCCACCTAAATTAGGAAAAATAATTATAATAATAATAAAGAGGTGATCAACAAGAAAAAAGTGAACCATAAAGCTCAAGGAAGAATGCTTCCGCCCAAAGCCGACCATTGAACCTCCAAAAACAGGAAAGGGTGCAAAATTAGGTCTTATTTCGTTTTGCAGGTATCAAGCAATCAGTCAGAATCAAGAAAAAAAGAAAGACATAGTGGAGTTGGAGATACAAAAAATTTCTAGGTATGTGCACAGCTGAGACGTATTTATTTAAAACCAACCTCAACAAGTTCGTCATTAGCATCAGCACATTTAGGCTTATCAGCTTTTGAAATACGGACGTCAGCTTTTGTTCTCTTTCGGATTTCATTTATAATTGAACCACTTTTTCCAATAATACAACCAATAACTTTAGAAGGAACAAGAAGTCGAATAGAAACAGAGTCATCATCTTCGTCATTTATCTTCCCTTGCAGCAACAGAACAGCTTCAACTGCCATGGATTTCAGATCATCGGGCGACTGCCAAACAATAAACCCAACATGATCAACATGTACTAGAACATGAATACCAAGCACAGATGTGTGTCCTATGGATAATGCTAGTCAAGATGATTCACAACTTAATCACCCAACACAATGTTGATCATGAAATTTTAGTGACAAATCCAGCATTAATGTTAAATGCAGAGGAATGGATAAGAATGAGTCTTTCTCAGAACCAAATCCATTTTTGACATCATAACAGTAAATAAACAAGAGCACATGCTCACAAAAAATTCTTGGCATTGCTAACATCTGCATAAACCCACAGCTTAAGGAAGTAAAATATTGGATTTGATAGAACTTCAGGACGAAAAGTAATTTTGTCTTAGGAAATACCATGCAAATGCATCAGTAGTACATCTAGCATACGCAAAATACTGAATTTAGTGGCAAATGGATTTATACAGGACTCTCCCTAACTTTTGAACTTTATAAAGTCTACCAAAACATAAAAGGATGAGTATACTCGTCCTTGTCATCATGCCATCATAGTCATACCTCTATTGCAACAATGGTAATAATACACTCGTCACGGTCATACCTCTGTTGCGGCAACAGTAATTATACACTCATCACGGTCCTTGGTATCATCAACCTCCACACGAGCGCCACTTGCCTGCCTAATGATTTTAATTGTGCCCCCACCCTTGCCAATTACACGACCAATTTTGTCAAAAGGACACAGTACTCGCACAACTAACTCCTCAGATCGGGAGGCAACACTGAAACCAGAAACTAAGGGAAAGGCAGATGAATATATGGGCCATGTATTCCCTGTATCTGCGTAACCCTGAAGATCTTGTACATGTGTAGCACCTATAATTGGAGGTACAGACCTAGGAGGGACGATAGGATCTGCACTTTGATATAGTCCACCTGGTTGATAAATAGAGACATCTGATGGGATAATTATGCTTGGAGGGGCTTCTGGTACTGATGTCTCAAGAGGAATCTCTTCCCTCGGAGCAAACTTGTACATAATTGCAGAGACTGCAAACAATGCTCTTTTCACTGCTTCGGATTCTCCATTTATCTGTTTACAAAGGGAAAGGAACTCTTAACACAAAAACATTACCAAATAAGAAGTTAACTAAACAGGAAAGTGAAACCTCTAGAGAAAATTGACAAGTATAAAATAACGAATCTATTGTGAGAATGTGAAGGTGACAATGTCCCACGTTGGAAAGTTGAGGTTCCACCGCAAAACCAATTGGCAATGGGGGGAGTAGCCAACACCTTATAAGCCCTTGCTAGGTTTCTCAACTTTCCAATGTGGGACTTTGTCACCTTCACATACTCACATCTAATACGTTCTATGCACAAAGAAGGTCCATTTAACACAACTATTAAGGATCTTCAAAGTAAAATGTTCAAACAATTACACAATTTCTCTATATGTTGTAGAGTCCCTAGAGACTGTTCATTCTATGCCACATTATAGACTGTTCATTCTCCGGTATCCAATAAAAGTATTTCATCAACAAAAGAAGAAAAAATTATCACGATTTGGGAAAAGAGCCACATCCAAGGCAAGAAACAACGAATTTGGCACAGAACTAAAGAGGTACTGTATCGACAACCCAACATTCGAATGGAAATGCCAACTTTCAAAAACAACACCAAAATTGTAAAAGCCATATTCCTAAATGTTTTTATGACCAAAATCAAAAGCAAAACTGAAACATGCAGGAATTATTCTTATTTAATAACAAATACTAACCATAAGAAAATTGTCAAAGTCCATAGCGCATGAATGTGTTGGGTCAGTGGCATCTTTTGCAACAATCTTAATGTTGGTCCTCGTCTTGCTTCTCAGTTTCTTTATAGTCGAACCAGCCTTACCTATTATATTTGCAGACTGGCTAGAAGGAACAAGAATTTGACAGTCTTCCCTACTATCTCTCCGTTTCTTGTCAGAATCTCCAACAGAAGCCAATGCATTTGAAATGGCAGTATGAACTCTAAGAAGAGCATCCTGGGCAGCACACAGAGGTTCCCTATCACTGAACTCATCATCAACTTCGACTTCTTCCTTATCCTTAACATAGCTGTATATATTTATAACCCTATCTTTAGCACCTGGAAACGGATCCACAACCTTGATTTTCGCTCTAGTATCTTGCCTTATTGTATTTATCACTTTCCCACTCTTACCAATAACACTTCCAATAACCCCATCAGGGCATAGAATCCTATAAACAACCATTTCATCACTGCCCTTTTCCTCTCTGTCATTAAAACGCCTCCTTTGGTTCTTGTTGCCCCCATCATGGTCTCTCTGAGAACGATAACGCTTACCCGTTTCACCCATTATTCCTCTCAATGGATTTTCCTCCTGAAACCACAACACAAAACAAACTTAAGCACTCTCCTATAATTAATTGAAGACCACTAATTACCATACAACAATAGTGGCAAGGCAAGTAAGAACAATATTGATTTTCATTCATTCGTGGGGGGTTTTCTAGCTGCAGTGGTTTATGTGAATTTATCCCACAACCAATGTCATAGTGTGAATCTCCCAATTCCCCTTGGCCTTGTGTGCACCATAAGAAAAAAAAATAAAAAATTGGGTCGTCTTCCATTTTTAAAGTAGGGGTATTCTCACAGAGAAAAAGGAAAAACCTTCCAAGGAAATCAGAAGTAGATGATGAAGCGGCTAATCCAATGGTAAACCCAAACCCTAGTCGAAAAACGTACCTTATAATCAGATAAATTTGCCCAAGACAGAGGTAGAGGCCTCTGAAGCCTTTCGGATTCTTGAAGTAGTCGAGTTTTAGATTCCTTAGGTTTTTTTGTTTCTTTGTTTTTGCTTGTTATTTCCTCTAATTAAATATTTGACGTAGGAGTAGGAAAGGAACGGTTAGATGGTTCTGATGATGACTGAGTGCGTCATCTTTGGACGGCCTTGCCATCAAGTTGCTCCTTTAAAATTCCCTTTTTGATAATTATTAAAAAAATTATTCCCTTCAAATAATTTTTCTATTTTGAGCAAAAATTCTTCTTTACTTAGAGATTCGTTTTTATAAAATAATTCCATGGAAGGAGATGCTCCTTCTTATTATAAATCACAGTTTTATAAATGTGTAAAAATAATTCTTCAAAAAATTATTTCCACACACAAATCATACTATATGTCTCGTAATTACAAATCAAAGTTTGACGAATGTACAAAAATAATCTATCAAAAATATAAAAAGAAAAACTTCTACACACGTGTGATATTCTCGTTGACAAATACATCTTTTTTCTAGTTTTCCTTCCTGCTTCCTGCCACGCAATAAATAAATGAGTTTCTAGAAAGTCAGTATTTTCCAATCCAAAGATTAACCCTCACAGGGATTGCCAACATATGGGTACTTTAGTATTTTTCAGTTCAACCTTTTATTTTTATTTCGAGTTTTATACTATTTGGGCACAAACTAAAAAGATCATCGATCTGGGCTTATTACGAATTTCATCGAGCATCTGCGAACTCAAACGCAAACGCGCTACGAACATGGAACAAGAAGCGGCGGAGACACTGGTTCAGGCGGCGAGCTCCGATGGGTCGAACCCGAAGGGGCCAGACGAGTCGGAGGCTGTGAACCGGGCAAGGAAATTGCTGTTTCGGCGGATGCTAGTGGGGATAAGAGATGGGCGGTTTTTCTTGGGAAATTTTCACTGCATTGACAAACAAGGAAACATCATTCTTCAAGATGCAGTGGAGTATCGTAGCACGCGGCGGTCTTCGCCTTCTCCGATGGAGCAGCGGTTCCTCGGTCTCATTCTTATCCCTTCTTCTTGCCGTGTCTCTTGTCATGTTGGTTGCTCTGTTGAAGAACAATTGTCTCTGCTTTCATTCTAGGAAGAAAACTAGACATTTTAGGGTCCTGTTGCTATTGGGATATCTAGAACAAGTGTTTGTTACTCATGTATGTTTGATTTTATCAATAATATTAAAACTGTTTTGCAATCCTATGTTGTTTTTAGCTTTCATACAAGCTTCATTCATGTCAGATTGTTTGTGAGCGTTGTGTGGCTACCCATGAATTCGATTTTTCTTTGGTAGATGTTTGTCCATCGAAGAATTCAGGTGGAGTTACTGGATCACTAGTTTGCCACATAGTGCTTTTATAATTCTTGACCAAATTGGCATGCATTCTTCCAATTTGAGATATCTGCCAAAAGTTAAGTGTTATGATTCTTGCTTGTCATCATAGTTAAATTCTGTACAGTATGATGCTTTTGAACAATCATGAACAAAACTTTACAAGTAGGGGGATGATATTATAGATTTAGAGACTTCTTTTGTTGTTCTGGTACAACTATGGTTAAAAGGTTTTCTGCATGATGTGGTGAAGTTCATATGGAAATGACAAAGTTTTCTGTTGAAGCATGACAAAGGAAATTTTGGTAGCACCATGGTGCATTGGAAAAGTTAACCAGATCTTGTGTGAGGTTATCATGTATGTTCTTCACAATCCATCAAAATCAATATTCATTTAGAAATTGGATCGTGTTCTGTGAAATTTATACAGCTTGTTTTTCCAAGAGACATCGGATATGAGGAATATGTTTTAGGTACAATGGTAAATCGATCAAAACCTGTCACGGTACGGTGTTCCATATACAATAAGGTACGGTACAGTTCGCACAACAGTGTCGATTGGTATTGCAAAGTTAACACCAGATGATGCTCCTGTTCCTGCAAAATATAGAGAGAAAATATAAGCATTTAAAAGCCGTAAGTAAGTTAGCTTCCAGTGTTTTCATGAAAAGGTTTGAAGCTTTGACTACGTTTTATAGTTCGGATATGTTTTGCTGGTTAAAAATTTTGTTAGGTTCCAAGTTCCAGCCTTCTGAATAGGGTAATAGAACTTGGGATTCAAAATCTCTTCCTGGTGTCGTGCTGCCAACTAGTTTAGAGCTCATTCGAGGAACATTTGATAATACAAATGAAAGAGCATGCTTTACCTTTGCGAGTGAAAGTTGCTGTGTTAACTCCAATAATATGACCATATGAATCAATCAACGGCCCACCTGAATTCCCTGCAGAAATTCTAACATATATAAGGCTGAAAACTTTGACATTATAAGAAAATGAGTGAAAGTTTATGCAAAGGCTAGAAGATTATGCAAATTGAAAATGTTACCAGCGTTAATGGCAGCATCTGTTTGAATAGCTCCTCTAATGGCCTTTCCATCTGGTGAGGGTATCTCCCTGCCTAATCCACTGACCACCTGCAATATCCAAAGTACCCATCAGACCATAACACATTCGACAAAGAAACTAAGATTTTTTTTTGAGTATTAGGAAAGGAAACTAGTTAAATGTAAACCATCTAATAGTTTGACATTTTGCTCCCTCTTGTTGTCGACATAAGGAAATATCATTCGAAATTGATCAAAACACTCTAAAAATGATGTGTAGATAGTGATATTAGAAAAGTTACCCCTATTGTTAGAGTGTTCTCGTATCCATAAGGATTCCCAATGGCAAAGCAGCTCTGACCCACATGTAAACCATTAGATGTGCCAAGAACAACAGGTTTTAACTCATGTCCTTCAACATCAACCTGCACATGGTATTAGGCTAAGAATCTCCAACACTTCACAGCCAAAATAAAGACACATGTACTTGATAGTTTAATGAATGCAGTAGGAGAGAAAACTGAAATGTTGCCTAGGAAGTTCCTTATTTCAAATTGCTCTTCTTTATGCAAATAATGAATGAATATGGACATGGTGCATTAGTTTACATGATTTTAAGAAATGAGATTGACACCGATACAATGATTTCTCAGTATGGTTCCAGTCATACGAAAAGTCTTTGGTAGATTATGATACAGTGGCTGGAAGTTATCAGCATACAACAATAAGGAACTAAGAAGAGCAACGAGCAAGAGAATAAATACCTTAAGAACAGCCAGATCATAGGCTGGATCCACACCAACAATCTTGCCTTCACTGTAAAAACCATTGCCTCTTGCATCTACAAGATAAACCTATAAAGAAGGACACCAAAGAAACTTTGAAAATTCAGACGAATGACTTGAGCTCCAAACTAAAACATTCAACATCAGTCAAAACAAAAGTTTAAAAAAAAAAAAACTATTACAAGGCTTTTAAATCGAATAAAAAGGACAAAACCTTACAACGCTGTAATCCGGTTTGGTCTGTGGCCAATTTAGCCACAACGTGGTAATTTGTGACCTGGAGAGACAAAGGATTGACTAATTTCAGTACAGTGGATGTAAAGATTCATAAACTAACACACTATAACTCGGTTGCACATAGAATCTAAAGTGAAGTTCAGATGGAGAAGCAGAAGATAGGTATGCTTACAATGTGACCGAACTTATCCCAAATGAAGCCTGAACCTGTTCCTTCAACTTTGGAATTTCCATCCTCACTTAGGAAGACGGCATCAGGAGAGGCCTTGAGGCTTTTGTCTATTTCAAGGTCTTTAATAAAAACAACTGATGGAGACGTTTCCTACAAACACATAACCCACACATTATAGAAAAATGAATTTTGAGCAGCAGATTTATGCAAAAAGTATCAGATTAGGAAAAGGTAAAGAGATCAAGATCATATGAGTAACAAATAATGCAGGCCTCTCTGTGACCCAATTGCAATCTCTGCGTAATATCAACAATTCTCCTAAAAAAGGAGCTCTCAATTTAGAGAAAACCACGAAAAATGTGTCAATTGAGAGAGAGAGAGAGAGAGACCTGGAAGAGATGCACAGAGCGGTCCTCTTGTTGCTGAAGCTCATCTTCTTGTTGCTGCTGAGCAAGTGCAAGGTGAGATGAAGGTTGTGGGGAAATGGGGTTATAGAAATGGAGCAAAGAAGCCACCACAACACTTGGACCAAGCACTATGGCTCTTCTCCTTGTGAGAAGAAGACCCTTCTGTGAAGGGTTTGAGGAAGAAGAAGAAGAGTTGGTTGGTATTGGAGAAGGCTTGATTTGGCTAAGAGAACCCAACACCACCATCTCTCTCTCTCTCTCTCTCTTTCTTTCCCGGGTATTTGAACTGATTTTTTATTTTTGGGATAAGTAAGGCTGTCTATGTGCTTCACAACGAAACGTTTGCAGACAATTTTCATAGTTGAGCTTATTTTCCTTTTTAAAAAGAAAAAAATATTAATTCAAGAAAAATGTTTTGGTTCAATGGGCCGGGTTAGATCCATTTAAAGAGAGTTAAAGCTCAATTTGGGTCAAATGGGCTTTTGATGTATGATGGGTGTGTTGATCAATGCTTGCAACCTTCTCTCTAGCCTTCTTTTTTGGACTTTCTTCCTTTTTTGGCTTGACATGTGTCATTCTCTTTACACTTAAAACAATGTCATTAATATATTATCAATAACGCTACGGGCACCAACTTGTTTACCAACTTTTGGATACCAACACATGTGGCACATGACATGGCAACCCATGTCATTTGCCATCTCATCTATTTTAATTACATAATTTATTATATAAATAAAATAATTTCTCACCGAAAACAAAAATAGTTAAATATAAAAAATAATTAAATTCTTTTATTTATATAATAAATTATGTAATTAAAATAGATGAGGTGGCAGATGACATGGGTTGCCATGTCATGTGCCACATGAGTTGGTATCCAAAATTTGGTAAACAAGTTGGTGCCCGTAGCGTTATTGATATATTATACAAGCTAACTTTTGTTTTCCAAGTTTACCCTTATTAAATGTATTCAATTTATCCAAAAAAAATTCACAACTTTCTTACCATCTTATTAATTTTTTTTCTCACGTCAATTATTTTTTTTAAAGAAAATATATGCTTTTAAGAGGAAATGTCCCTTTTCTTTTTTCCTTTTTAAACAAAGGGTTTAGATAGGAAAAAAAAAAAGTCCTTTGTGTGTTTTAAAAAAATGGACATTTCATATTTTTTTGAAAAAAGTAGACATTTTCTTTAAAAAAATAATTGATGTTTAAAAAAAATTAATAAGACAGTAAGAAAGTTGTGAAATTTTTTTAGATAAATTGAATACATTTAATAAGGGTAAACTTGGAAAGCAAAAGTTAACTTGTATAATATATTAATGACATTATTTTAAGTGTAAGGAGAATGACATATGTCAAGCAAAAAAAGGAGAAGGTCCAAAGGAGAAAGTTAGAGAGAAAATTGCTAGCATTCTACTTAAAAGATTTGGACACTAGGCTACGTGTCAATTCCTTCCATGGTGGTGAATCTATAAAATGTATTTTTTTTAAAAGGATAATTATTTTAAGCTTCTTTTTGGTTTGTGGTATAACGTAGCTTTAGGCCTTCGTCCAAAAAAAAAGGTAGCTTTAGGCCTTTATAGATTTTGATTGATTTGTCGACCAAAGTTCAAAATTTTATATTTACAATTATCACCCATGTTTGTGGCTTGTCTTCAATTATCTTATATATTGATTGTGGCTTGTCTTCAATTATCTTATATATTGATTGTGGCTTGTCTTCAATTATCTTATATATTGATTGTGGCTTGTCTTCAATTATCTTATATATTGATTGTGGCTAGTCTTCAATTATCTTATATATATATATATATATGTTTACTTATATTACGGTAATCAAAAAAGCTAAATGAAAATTACATCAGAGAAAAGGTAGTTCTCTATGGATTATGAAAGAATTGTGGAAGATTGCAAAAGGAAGAGACCCCACTAAAATCACATCACCGATTTGGGGTTTGATGGCGAGTTTCTGTTCCATTCAATTTTAGCCTAGAACTCATATTTTGGCAGCTCATTGAGACTTTCATGCAACGGAAATATTAATTTTTGTTATTCTCAATTAATAGTGCAATAATATGCAGAATAACTTTTTCACGTATCAATGCAATATGTACCAGGGATAACAAAACAGTATTTACCTAATTAATTAAAATGCATCAAGACGACAATATATTTAGAAGAAAAAAGGAGATTTCAGAATAAATACACATTCATGCATACAAAAACTATTCATACTAAACATGAAGTCCAGAGTATTTACAAAATTATTTGTTCGCTGAAACAAAAACACAAAATTTTTGAAAGATGAACTCTCTTTCATATTCCATATATGCATGGAACATTAACTTCTAGACTTGGTGGGAGTCTGTAGCTGCTGATTGAAGCCTAATCTGCTTGTTAAACCTCTGAATAAATTCTTCAACTCTCCTGTTCAGTTCTTCATCTGACATGACCGAAAATTCATTGTCTTCAACAGTATTTGGCTCGTACTTCTTCTCATCCTCTGACCTCTTCAAAATATCCTTCTTCCTCTCATCGATCACAGCTCCCTTTGTCTTTGTTTTCTCAGACTTACTTCGCTGGTAAGTTTTTGCTGCAACATTTTCTCTGGCGCAACCTTTGTTCTGGACATCGCCTTTCGACACGTGGACGACACTCTTTTCTTGGACAACTTCTTTATTTTGAGTGTCTGCCACTTCTTCATTCTTTGCTTTCATGTCGTCCACGTCCACCTCTGAATGCTTATTGGGACAGCTGCTTTTCTTGAAAGCTATTTCAGGGTATTGAGAAACAAATGAGGAAACACTTCGAGCTTGGCGGTAGATCATGTACTCTTGGTAAAGATGTTGGTCTTGTATATTATCGTTGGAGGAAGAGAAGGCGCCATAGTCAGCTGCAATGATGAGGATGAGAGTGTTGGATATGGCAAACCAGAACTTGGTGTTGTGGAAGAGAGTGGAGAGAGAGAGGTTGAAGATGTAGAAGATGGAAATGTAAAAGCATATGGAGACGAAAAAGGCCAAGAAGGATACGCCCTTGGCTTTTTCAGGGTAATATTTTTTGGGTTTGTAGGGTTTCATTGAATCTTGCACAAGATTTGTTGATGGTGGTTTGGCCATGTTATTATGTGGAAGAGAAGAGATGCAAGTGGAAGAAGAAGGACTTGAGATATTGCTTGTGGGGGCGTAAAGAAGCAGAGAAATGTGGTTTTTGAATTTGGTTGGTAGAAGAAGTTCCAAATGAAGGGGTTTTAAATACTTGTGAGATTTGGATATACTGCTGAATTAATAATTGAGCAATCACTTCAATTATTAGAGGTGTCACCGTGTCACCTTTATTTAATTATGTGATTTACCATGTATGCCCCTCATCACTTCGGCTTCAAGAAAGACCCAGAAACAACCATTTGGATACATATCCTTAACTGAGAAGATTGGAAGCACTGAAAAGAAGTAATCGTAATTCTCTGTGCTTTTGCGACAGCTCAAAATCCCATTGCATAAGGAAAGTCAACCAGGCAAATAGCCAAAGCCATGTCTGCATAGGAACACAGCACAATGACACATGGCACTTCTTCGTTTGATTGTCTTGTTTTGCTGTTATTAAGCTGCTTAAGAGTACACGTTGGATGACATGTGGCACTTCTTCGTTTGATAGTCTTGTTTTGCTGTTATTAAGTTGATTAAGAGTACACGTTGGATTAAAATGGTGGGCAAAAATTCTTCTTCAAACTATTCACCTAATTAATATATCAGGATTAAGGGTCTGTTTGGAGTGCTTCTGAAAGGGTCAAAAGCGCTTTCTGATACTAAAAGCGCTTCTGACAGCATTTGACAAAAAAATTGAGAAGCGCTTTTGGGTCATAAAAGCGCTTTCTGGAGAAGCACCTACTATGTGCTTCTTCAGGAAGCACTCCCAAGTACTTTTCCACGAAACACTTTAATTTTTTAAGAAAATTCAAGATTTTTATAATAAAAGCGCTTTTGTTAGAAGCGCTTATAAGCAAAAGTACTTCCTAGAGTAATAGTCCCAAACGAGTTATAAGACATTAATTTGACGGCGGATATCATCTTGTACACATAAGATTGTGACAACATGCACGCATGGATGGTACCCAGTTATTTGAGATTACAGGCCACACAATAAGAAGCGACCAAAAGTCTGCAAGTCTGAACACTCATGATTCATGGTAGTTGGATATCGAAATCAAGAAAATGAAGTTAAGGTTACCATCTTTTCGAAAAGTCGTCTCGTCTGCAAACCCTTTCTTATCCTAGCCATGCTATGTTGGGTGTGGGGCCGCCCTAACACCTCAGCTTCTTAATAAATTACTTACTTGACAATTAATCATGATAATTGATTACCATAATGAAATTGTTGTGAGACATTTAGATGACTCGTACATAAGTACAATATAGTGTAAAAATTTAATTGTGGTTGTCCTTGTGACTTGCTTTGTATTTTAATTAAAATCTGGGGAACAATCACTCATGGGGACCCTGGTGTGTCACTTGCTGATTGGTTACTTCAACATCTCTCTCTTTCGTAAATGAATCGTGGATGATATTATTAACCAAGTAATCATATTTTATGTATGCAATTAGCCAGACTTTTGTAGTAGCGGGAGGAACACTCAAAGAACAGAAGAGAAGACTAGTCAAGCATTCGAGCTGTAAACTCGCAACATAGACTTGAAAAATAAAAAGATATTGAGACGGAATATGAATGAAGGATTGAAGCATTTGAGGTTTAAATATGTATACTGCTTTGATCACGGAACAAAAAAGGTCATGATTTGCGATGCATATGCGTATCTTTTGATGCTCTCTGTGATCAAACAAGTACGATTTGAGATCGAGAAGCTCAGGAAACTTAATTTTCATACATTTTCATCTTAAATTCTGCTTAAATTACGACCAATATTAAATTGATTGAAATATGATCGACGATACCATGCACGCATACGTAGGGTTTACTTTGGTGGTTCTTGATGTTGTTTTAAGGCAAAGAAAATCATTAATGTGGAGAGATGAATGGACTTAATTAGCTAAGGTTACATAAGAATCCTTATTTTACTCCACAATCAATGAGCTAATTAATATTGTACAATGAATGATTATCGAATTTTAGTCTATAAGAGCATCCATAATGATGCTCTCTATTTCTTAGCTAAAATTTAGCTAAAAATATATATTAAAAAAACTATTTTAGGAGCTCTCTAAAAAATTTCAACTCCAACCA